CCTCAGGTGATCATAAAATGTTTGAAGTCTTTACAGGTGAACCTCTATAACCACAAATGATTCGTATCGCGTAGATTTGAATTCATGGAAGATGAGATTTCGACTACATGCAACTGGGTCTTAACCAGTGCACTATAACTTGAGTGGTTTATTACGGAAAACTTGTTTGATAAAACTGATGATTTTTTTTTAATCAGAATTGTAAGTGAGAAAACCAGTTTTATCTCTTGTATCTTAAATTTGAATCGATCCAAAGATTAGTTTAGAAAGTTGACGTCAAGAGTTAAAAGAATTTTCCCTGTTCTTGTTTGGATGTACATTTCTGTATGTACAATGCAATTTTAACTGATATATATATATATAAATCGATCAGTTGTTATATTTTATTTCTAACGAGTCTAATTACTAAAAACATCAACTAAAAAATAAATCAAATAGATCAAAAAATATAAAAAAAAAATGTATTCGGGTTACTAAATCCCTTTATTAAAGAAAAATATATTATTATTTAATAATATATTAATTATTTATATTATTATTATTATTATTATTATTATTATTATTATTATTATTATTTAATAATATATTTGATTTTGAACTATTTTTATACAAATGCAGCCATTAACATTTGATTAATTAAAATTTTAGAATAATATGTCATTTAAATGTGTAATTAATATTTATAATGATAATATAAATACAATTAAATTTTATAAACATGGAAAAATCCTCGACTCCATGTAAGGAATCTCGTTCTCCAATGAAGATGCGGGTTTGTTGCATAAATTATTAATCTTATTTTTATTGTTATGAGATATTTTAGGCTATAATTAAGGATGGGAATATTTTTATTAAATTATGTATAATTAATTAATAATCACTACGGTAAAATAAATAATATAATGCACAAAAAAAAGGTTCTAGAATTACCCTGTTTGAAAGGTTTTGACTTAGACCCGTACAATGGACCCGAATCCGACCCGCAGGCCCATCACCGCCTTTGGCTGCCTTTATAAACCTATTACAGCTAACAGAAATACTCTTTAGGCAACTTTGCGCGATCCCCCTCCTTTTTCTTATCGCATACATCCTTCTCCGTCCTTCGCTCCGCCGGTTTCTTCCCCGCCGTCGTCGCTTCGTCTCTGATCATCATCCGTCGAAAAGAGTCTGTAACAGAACGGATCGATGGGGACGGAGTGGCATCGATGTAGTTCTGTAGGCAAGAAATCGGACCTGCTTCTTGTTGCAAGAGAGACAACTGCATGTTGAGTTCGAAATCCGCCATTTTCTAGGCAGAACGGTTCTGGTTCTTCGTCGTTTTGATGGAGGTCGGAGAGACACCAGTTACAGGTATCACTTAGGCCTTGAAACAGCGTCAAGTCAAGAGGATGGTTGGGGAAGTAATCAACGATGATCGGTGGTGTTGTGTTTGACGTCAGGGAAAATTGATCATCCAGATCATCGGGTGGTAAGATCGATTGGAGAGTGGCAGCGAAATCATCGTATATGCTTCCGTCCGATTGATCGATGAATGAGGACCAGTAGTCATGGCCGACAACGCCGCGGTACAGAAAATTATTTATAATTCTCCATTTTCTCAATAAATTTGGTATATGTAAACACAAAATTCAATCAAACGTGAATATATTTCGTCAAATGCATTGAAATATCTGAAAGTGCAATACACACAAAACATACAGAGAGAGTGTGTGAATCTCAATACACACAAACACAAAGAGGAAGAACAATCAATTTCATCCGGACACTAAATCCATCTTTCAGTATGTAATTTAGAAATAAATAAACATAGAACTAGAATTAGTGTTTACTATGCTGTCATTGTGCTTCAAGTTGCAATGCAAATTACCTGGAGATTTTCTTGATCGATTCTTGAATCAAACTTGATGGAAGAATCGAAGAAGAAGAAACTTGTTGAAATTTTGTTGCTCGATTCTTCTTAGTTGCGTACAAATTACGATGTATAAAATGTAATTAAAATCTTTGTTGGGAAAAGTAAAAAAAAAACTCAATGGACTTTACTTTTTGGAAAGATTAAATCCTTGGACAATTTTTTTGAACAAATAAATCCTTTGACATTTTAGAACCTGTTAAATAAGTCATTAGACATTATAAAACCTGTTAAATAACTCATTGGACAATTTTTTAGAACAAATAAATTTTTGAACATTTTAGAACCTGTTAAATAAGTCATTGGACATTATAAAACATGTTAAATAACTTCTTGAACTTTCTAAAATTTGTTAAATACAGTTTGTTAGTGGAAAAAGTCCAAAAAAACCAATGGATTTCATATTTTGAATGATCAAGTCTTTAAATATTTTTTGAACGAAAAAAGTACTTACACTTATAAAAAAAATATATACCATTCTCATTACTCTTCACAAAACATATAAAAGTTGTATCCAATGCATAATAATTTGCATACAAATTTTGGGCATAATTTTACCAAAAGTTAAACCAAAATATATACCAAAAGTTGAGATAAAATATGTAAAAAAAATTGTGCCAAATATACCAAAGTAATGCCTAATCTATGTTAAGGTATGATATAAACTATTATTCATTTGCATCATTAATTTCTAGTGAAGATATAATCATTTGACTTTCTTGTAACACTTCTTGATGTCTAACAACATCGTCACTTTCATAATGTTCTTCATCACCAACATTAGCATCACCTTCATCACGGTCTTTATCGTTAATAACAGCCTCTCTTGAAATTGAATACGGTAGGATGCCTTCGGGCCATGCTGGTTGTGGCATAACTGAGGATGTCTTTAATGATGAAGATAAAGTATAAGCAATAGTCACAAAAAATGTTATTTAAATCTGAAAAACAAATGGATGACTAATAATATCTCATGAGTTAGTTTTAAATCCTATGAGTGAAATGTGGGGATTAACACTTTATGAGTTTAGTTGTTGAAAAAGGGGTGTATTAAAATCCAACTCTTGATTTTTTACTAAGGGGTCGTTTACTAAACCCTTGTCGGGTAAGTGCTTACCGGCAAAAATTAATACCCTTATTTGTCCTATCGTTTAACATTATCGATCATCAAAGAGAATTGTTATACGTGTTTTTACCCTGTAAGCATTTACATTTAAAGATTTTGTAGAATCTCCTTTTGAAGAATTTGTTAGAAATGCTCCAACGTTAATCTTATTTTAGAAAGCCAAACAAAAATTAAAAGAGCAAGAGGTACAAAATTAATACAACGATAATTATTATTTATAATTAAAAACATGCGTGTTCTTGATATATATATATATATATATATCTATATAATTATATCTCTCTTATGGTACATATACACACTGAGTGCGGTTGAATATGTTAAGAAAGTAGGTGTTGTAGCTAGGTGGGACTTTGGGTACAAATTTAGCTACATCATTCTTTTTTTCTCCACCCCCACTATGTTACTTATGGGTCGTTTACCAAATACTTATTCGGGTAAGCATTTACCAAGTCATATTCCCTTACCGGATGAATATGGCAAGGACAAAAAATCTTACCTGGTAAGAGCGAAGGGACCGAGAGTCTTACCGGGTAAGTGATGGCGACGACTCTTACCACAATTAGCGTTTACCTGGTAAATTGTTACATATGATGTCGTTTTGGTAGACTAAAATCTTACCCGATTAGTAAGCGATAGAGTTGCATTTTACCGTTAAACGCTTACCGGGTAAGTGTTTAGGTAAACGACCCCTTACTTGAATATAAAACCCAATGGGCTAAATCTAAGTTTCATTCTTTTGAGGTCTTTGTCCATGTATAAAAATATCACTAAACTTGTATAAATTTCTTCTTCGCCTGGACATTCATGGATGCTTCTTGTGATTTCAACTGTATGTTAATGACCAAGAAAACTTATTCATTCATGGGGTTTTAACAAATTCCTTTAATCCTTTTTTTTAAGAATTGTGTTCTTAATTTGTTTGCTTTCATTGTCCTCACAACATTAATTGGTAGGGTAAATCTTACATTTATTATCCAATATATTGATTCTTCTAAAACATTAATTGGTAGGGTAAATCTTACATTTAAGAATTGTGTTCTTAATTTGTTTGCTATTTTTTTTTTGTATTTTCTATTCTTCCTTTATATGTTCATTTTTTTTTGAGAGAAAAAAAAGATTCTTTCCTTCTCAACCCATCAAAATTTCAAGTTCTTAGATTTGTATTTCAATTGCTTTTCCCCTTTTAGTTTCTCAGAAATATATATACATATATATATATATATACATAAAAACATTTATATATTTCCCATTCTAGAAGTGTCATTTTCTTCTACACAGTCCAAAAACCAAACTTCTATATTAAATAGACTTACCAATGTAAGATGTATATGCAAAAATGTAATCATATGAAGAACAATGTTGGAGCAAACCTGATAAGATCAAACTGCAACAGGACCGGCGATAGGAATGGTGCAACAGCAATGACTGGTGATGGGACAGTGGTGCGGCGGCAACGAGCGGAGACAAGGGCGGCGACGGGGATGGTGCGGCGACGATGGGAGAGAGGGAGACGGTGGTGTGTGGGCAGCAAGAAGATATGGTGGTGTGTGGGCATGAAGCAGGAAGAAGGGAGATGGGGAGTTTTATGTTTTAGGGTTTTTTTAGGGTTTTTTTTAATTTAATTTAAGGTTTACCTCTTATTCAGATTACAAGTTATATTTTTAAAGTATGGGGATCTATTTAACATGTTTTAAAAAGTCCAAGGAGTTATTTAATAAATTCTAGAGTGTCTAAGAATTTATTTATTTCAAAAAATTGTCCAAAGACTTAATTATTCCAAACAATAAAGTCCATTGGGTTTTTTTGGAATTTAGAAATTGATTTTAGGGACGATAAAGGAGCATTCAGAGAATACAAGGATTGAAAATGTCATATTGTAAAATTATAGGATGCATTTTGAAAATATCTTTTTCAAATGCAGAATCCCCTCACTTTTTATTTTATTTCTCCATATTCATACGCACAAAACCCTTCTCTCCCGATTCAAAGGTGCAGGCGGCGGCAAGCGGCGGAGATGGATCCAGATGCGGTAGCTAAGGCGTTCGTGGAACACTATTACTCAACCTTCGATGCTAATCGGACCGGCTTGTCCAATCTATACCAGGAATCCTCGATGTTGACATTTGAAGGCCAGAAGATACAGGGATCTCCGAACATCGTAGCGAAGTTGACATCACTCCCTTTCCAACAGTGCAAGCACAGCATCACCACGGTGGATTGTCAGCCATCTGGTCCCGCCGGAGGCATGCTTGTCTTCGTCTCCGGTAACCTCCAACTCGTCGGCGAACAACATGCTCTTAAGTTCAGCCAGGTACATTGTTCTATATCGAGTAGTTTTCTACATTAGCATTGTTCGATTTTTTTGTTATATATTGCTTTATACTTTGTTACAACTTGTAGTCATGTTTTATTTTTGTTATATATTGCTTCGTGAGGTCTACGACCATATGATTTTGAAAGCGTATCGATTGCATGTTTTTTTATTTGAATTGGAGCGATGGTATTAGAGTACGTCAATGATTGTCTGTGTGTAAGGTTGTGTTTTATAGACTGTAATTGCTCTATTATGCCGGTGTTTCTTCTGAAGAACTGTTTAATTATCTCTAGGGGGATTTCATGTATGAACCTTGGAAAACACTTCTAACTCGAGTATTAAAGATCTGTTAACCAGAAATCGAGCCATCGTTCACATGCAAATTCTCAAACTTGTGATGGCTCTTGACCTATTTTATTGTAGTTACTGGGTTAGATTGGATACACATTTCACTTTATAATCTGAATGCTTAGCCTATGTAGCTAGGTAATGATCATCATAGTTTTTCTTAGATGGTGTCTGCTCAATACTTTTTGATAGCACTTGAACTTGTTGTTCAGTCCCTGAGAGGTTTCCTGGAAAATAATATTATTCAGAAACTTGGGAAACTTTCCACTGGTTAGTGCTATCTTCTGGTTTGTGCTTGACCAGCAATTATTGTGTTTTGATTTGATCATGATGACCATGACATTTTTGCTCCATTAAGAGGATCGTGGAGTGCTCTTCATGTAAAGAACGACTGTAAGGTGCTTGTCTTTCATTGTGGTACATTATCTAGCAAAAAGGGTCACAACATGCTACATTCATCATTTTTTTGGCATATATTGAATTAAGGGTCTTGCTTCGGGGATGTAGTTGGGGCCCTAATACCAATTCCGTTGTTGGATTGCTCAAGTTTCATATTTCACTAATCTGTCTACACACATGCATATACTTATGAAACGATACCAAGATATGTTGTGTGGCTGTAGAGTAGCAGAGATCTGGGTGTGGGAGAAGCAACAAAGAAAATAGTAATCACATATGTGGTCTCCAAGCACAACCTTTGTTCTCCAGTTACATGAGAGGGTTGGTGAGGTTCATTAGCTAATGAGAGATCGAAGAAAAGGGAAGTCAATGGCATATTTAGTTTATATATGTTATATCACCTCACCTAAATTTATTGCACTCTGTAGTGCTCCTTCATTTGTTACTATTATTTGGAGAATGGAGATATAATGAAAATCATACCCATACCAATACGATCTCTTGCACATCAATTACCAAGTATTGCATTAGAATACTTTAGCAGTAGAACCCTTGAATTATAATTCATTCCATCGTAAATCTATATGGATCCAGATGCAACTTAACGTTTTCTGTATTTGCCCTGCTTATACAAAGCTTTTTATAGCCATATTTTTTTCCATTGTAAACCACATTTATATGGTTCTCTTTCTTTTTATGAGCGTACAGTTATTGCAGCTGCATTGTAGGATGTTTCTAAACACTTTAATTTGTTTGCAGATGTTCCATCTAATGCCCACACCACAGTCAAGTTTTTACGTTCTCAATGACATATTTCGGTTGAATTATGCTTGAAGCCGTCGTTCAGGGAAGGAAGCTGGTTATGAATGTTGAATTTTGTTTTTCTTTCCATTTTTGGTATTTTGTGAAAACTAAGAACTGCAGTTGAGGGGGTATTGGAAGAAGGAAATACTTGATGCTTATTGCGAATTGTGTCTTCTCAATCTCTATGTCTTGGACAATTAATTGGTTTATGGTCGGATTGAAAGGATCATCGAGTCTTTTTGTGTGTGTGTGTGTTTGTGGTCTTTTTATGGTATGAGCAATGACAAAGTGACAAATATAAAGATTCCTCCAAACCATCGAGGAGGGTCAAGTGGACAACAAACAAACATGCTATTGAATTGAAGAAGAGAGAAACTTGAAAAAACCCTAGAGAGCTGTAAAAAACAAATGAAAAAATATATCAAAAAATAAATAATGAAGTGATGGGTTTTCAAATGTAGTTTGTTTTGCTCCAATTTTGTTATATTTTGCTGAGTTTTGATTTAAAAAGGGGGGAGGTGATATATTTTTAAAGTGGTTATAACCATCTTTTTAATCATATCCGTTGGATTATCTAAATTTGACAGTTTGGATGGTTCTTCGGGTCTCTCTCTATCTCTTTATATATATATATATAGAGAGAGAGAAAGATATTCATATGTTAATCACTGAAAAAATCTATTTTTTAATGCATAAGCCGACATGTCATATGGGTTAACATATATCTGATTTTTTTAATGATTCACATATGGATCTTTTCTTTTTACGATACTTCCTATTATTTGAACATTTCTTGCTATATAAATATATACACAAAAATTATACAAGATGAATTCAAATAAAAATACAAGAGCACTTCCATTCATACACGTATATACAAGTCTGTACCTACAGAAGTGAATCATAAGGCCATATCTATCATCTAATTAAGACCCAATGTATTCCTGTTGAAAAACTAATACAAGTCATCCTTTTCCATATTGGTTACATCACCTCCACGCTCCGCCTGCAAGATTTCATCACGACTTGTCAAGTTTTAACAATGGGGAAAGCACATGACACTGAACTGTGACCAAAACTTGTATTTATCATATCATGTGCACCAACCAAACACAGCCCCATTTAAGCATCTTCAGTTTGCAACTCATGCACTTGTAATCCATCCCCTTTTTTCGGAAAACGCTTATCATGTAAGTATTCACCGGTGAGTATTACAAGTATCGAAAATCTTGCGCGGTAATTAAGGGAGAAGACTCTTACCCGGTAAACGTTTACCAGATAAACGATGCTTACCAACAATCGATTTTGATGACCTAGAATGTTACCCAACAAGTGAAGGTGGTGACTCTTGCCAATAAGCGTTTACCCGGTAAGTGTTTGATATACGACCCTTTAGATTTGCAAGTTTTTTGACCATAAAATAAACAGGGTTGTTAACAGATGTACAAGACCTATTCGAGTCTTCTCTTAAGTTTTTCAAACAACTATGCCGCAATGCTTGAAGAATCCAGACTATTTATCGAACCCAAAAACTACTGGACAGATGGGTCATGTCAATCAAAGTTGGACTGTTATCTACCGATAGCGTTAAAGTTGCATAACATAGATTCTAGGTACTTGTTATGCCTTTTACTTTGGTAAGATTCTCGGTCCTTGCCATGCTCACCCGATAAGGTAAGTGACACTCGATAAGTGCTAACCCGATAGGTATTTGGTAAACGGCCCCTAAGTTCAACCAAATGATTCATTACGGAAGCTCGAGCCGTACTAAACAGGTCATAAGATTTATGAATCTATATTCTTGGTTCCTAGTTGACCTCCAATGGAACGGAGATTATAGTTAGTGATTATAGATCTCGTATATTTTCGAACTTGTAAGCAGGAATGAGGTTACTCTTTCTGTGGAAGCTAATTTATCAAGTTAAAAAGGCTTTAAAATTGATTGATCAGATGCAAAATGAGGAGCAATCACTCACCTTGGCTTGCCGATGGTTTTCAAGCATGCGGCGGTATTGCTGCTGTGCTGGTTGGGAGTCCACCATGGAGAGTACCCTTGCAACGGCTTCACCAACAGCGACGTCCACTTTCTGCTTCCGAAATGCCTTCACAACGTCTTCATCTTCACCTTCGTCAACAGACGGCGATTCTTGACGATATCCTCGCAAACCAGTTCCTTTCCGGCGCCACCTTAAGATGATTTTCTCAACCATACCCACAGCCCAACAGATGACTTTATAACTTTTCCTTACCTGGTGACCTCTTACATGAGCCTGCACTTGGGGAATCATGAGATTTGGTTACCAAATAGCGCAAAAAATTACTGACGTGCACAGTTAGATACACAGAGAGGACTGAACAAGACATTACTAGATACACAGGTGAAAGAATTGTGAAAGGTTTTAGGGTTTTAATTTGACATGGGTTTGTTTAGTAATTTAACTTGTCTCATCTCTCTGATTTTTGTTTCACCTATTTTGGTGGGATAAAATAAATGCATTTTTGTCAAACTCATTCTTTTATTGTCTCGTCCAGTCCCGTCTAATGTGAACATGAATAACAAGGAGATGAAAAGCAAGACCTGTATTTTAACTACTTTCTGGCGAAGTGCAAGGAAATCCTTGCGACCTCTCCAACCTCGATATTTCTTCTGGATAGATAAGGCAGCATAATGATCATGTGCATTCCGGAAAGTCAACTTTGATGCTGCAGAGAGACCCTCGATGTCGCTTGAAAAGATACCATATTCATCTTCACTGCCAGATGCAGCGGATTCCTTCTGTTGCCTCCTCCTAAAAGAATGCGCTCTGAAGGCAGATTGTATGCGTGCAGCAGCCTGCGTTGCATTCCTCACAGCAGCTAATGTGTCTTTCAGAGAAAGGTGATCATCGTTCATAACAAGATTTGTGTTTGAGAGACTATTTACTGTTCTTTCTGCTTCGATATCAGCAGAACTTAGAGAGAGTTCAGTTTGTTGTAGCGTGAGGGATGAAAGATGGCCGGTGAGTGCCATCTCCGAGAGATAACCTGCAAGTCCTTTGTGTCCACATGCAAAAGCTATAGATGCTGGAGTTTTCCCAGTTGGATCTTGATTACTAGGATCTGTAACTGCTCCAGCAAATGCACCAGAAGCTAGTAGTTCAGCTACCATCTTTTCCCTGTTACATTACACTATTAGCAATCGATTCAAGCTTCCAAATTCCAATTAGGGGATGACTCGGTTTTAGTTCGATCACTAGTTTAAGATTTTGTGGGCCAGGGTTTGGGTTATTCTTATACTCACTCTATCCCAAAATAAATGTTCATAATGAAAAAGGCAAAGTTTTTGAAATGTGTAACCACTTCACTATTGAACTAACTAAATGACAATTTTACTCTTAAACAATAGAGGGAGTAATAAATTTCTCCATCTCATAATTAACCATCATAAATAAGGGTAAAATTGGAAAACATACATTTACTTTTGAAAGTGGGCACTTATTATGGGACAAACTAAACTAGAAATGTGGACACATAATTTAGGCAGTGAGAGTGTTGGTTTTATGTTTCTTTTGTTTCAGTCAAGATCAAGTTTTGATGGTAGTATCAGTTGTAACTTGGCTTTCAGGTAGTTTTTGTGGTTCAATTTGATGTATTTGGATGTGTAATTCTGTCTTCAGTCTTCATATGCATCCTTTTCAGTTTTAACATAATTTCTTACCGTTTCAAGTTTCCAGCATATAATTATACAGATATCAATGGATCGGATCTCTCTTATCTGTCTGCAGTGAATAAGAAGATGCCGAACATTGTTGTGAATATGCCGGAAAGAAACATGTGTAGTTCCATACAGGGCACTTTTGCTCTTATAAGCCTCAAGATGTTTGAATAGCTAAGAACTTGTATATATGAAATAGATGTTCTGGTTCTCATATTATTGCCATACACCAGAAATACAATCAAAATAAAGTAATCTGTGATCTTGGTCAATGCCATATACAGCTCTTACTTTTCAAAAGTTATGTTGCAGAATCTGTTCAAGTAGATATTATGCAAGCTCGTTCTATTAGACTGTGTGGAGCTTGTTTAGTTATGTCAATCAAGATAAATATACCAAAACTTACAAATAGAAAGACGTACCTCCCAAAACGAGCAGCCCAATGAAGAGCAGTCCAGCCATTGATGTCACGAAAATTTATGCTGACTCCGGAATTAAGTATCGGTTTCAAGGCCCACCAGAAGCCCAATCCAGAAATCATGTGTATTATCCCTTGTTCCCTTCTGGACAAGGCCGGAGGAGCATTGTTATCCTGCAGTCTAGAAGAAAGCCATTGCTGCAACTTGTCTTTTAGAAGTTCTTCCAGGACCCAGTCTGTTGCACTAGATGATGCCAAACTGCCATCTAAAAGAGCCTCAATGACTTGACCCCATGTGTCCTCACCAGCCATTGAACTGGCCAGAAGATCAGTTCTCGTGCTCTCTCTTTTTTGTGTAACTTGATCAGACAGTAGCATTTGCACTAGTCTGACAAGTATCAATAATTCTTCCAAGCTCCAATGTGATTCTTTCTCTATTGAATTAGCATGTCCATAACTATTTGGTTTATCACGGTATTCAAACTCGCTTATCTCACTACAAGCCTCTTGATTGCCAGAGGTAATACAAACAGTAACTTTTCCAGGTAAACAAGGAGGAGCCTGGCAACAGATGACTCCGTCCTGAATAATATCGACAGGAACTCCAATGTCACCAAACATACAAGTCCAGTCACATTTGGTTGGATCACATGTAAATGTCCCAATGATGAGTACCTGCAGTTAGGAATATGTACATATTTAAGAAGCATCCTGTAGGCACCTTTTCAAATTTCCAATTGCTTAGTCTATCCTGTCATCTCTGTTCCTGTGTGTGTGTGTGAAAGAATTACAAAATAACCCAGGTGTGGGTTTGGGGGAGGGGAGGATGAAATCTGCATCCTGCATCAAACTTCCTAAAATGGAATGACTATATAACATCATGCAAACAGAAATGCCTCCAAACACATTTTTAGCAGCTATATATGGCTCTCCAAAGAAAGACGAGAACCAAAGACAACAAAAAGACATACTATCAGCTAACATGTCAAATCAGTCCATTGCTTTGACCTTTGCCTTATTTGATCAACTTTTGGAGTGTTTTGTAGTGTCGGTGGCTATGTTACATTATGGAGTCCCACATCAGCTAGACAACCGACCATCAAACCAATATATATGTAATCTGTAGGGACCTCTGTAAGGGTTCTTTTAGAGAGAGATTCAAAGGGGTTCCACATATTCTAACATTACACGAATCAGTACAATTGATTGATAAGTAATAGGTGATGAGGAAATTCCTAAGTCATATTTGCAGTGATCATAATTCATAAAGAACCAAATGCGGATAACTTGGAAACAAATTCTTATACAACTTTAATGAATATACCTTAGTTGATTCAGTTGCATAACCCCATCCTGGAGATATCTCTCGAATAGTAAATTTCTGCTCTTGTGAAATAGTTAAGCTTGAGTCCGATTCAAGAGGCATTTGAATATGTTCTTGGTCAAAAGTTGCTGGGCGGAAGTCTGGATCACTTCCATACATATTTTTTGCATGGGTATACGAAGAAAATTTTAAATCTACAAGTTCAGCAGGCAGAAACATGAATGCTGTAAATCAAAGAGTTCTCAGATGGTTCGAAGATCTTGGGTTGAAAATTGGATTTAAACACTTTAAATCCACCAGACTACAGAAAGAAACTAGACTTACGGTCATTCTTTGCACCGTTATCTCCAGAATAACAGTTTTCTTGCTTTTCCACCGGATAATCTCTTGGTTGAGGTAGGTGTATTCCCTGTTGAAGACAAAACAACTAATTAGGCCAAAAAAATAATAACTTAATATATTAGAAGGATTATTTGGTCGTGATATGATAAAGAGGGGTTTGAACTTCAAAGATGCTTCTTTACTCATCCACGTCTACAAGCACATTGACGTTTGGCTACAACCAACAATCGGCAATATTGCACAGACGCATAATCACATTGCACCAAAGAATATGTACAAGTGGAAGGAACAGCAATTGAAGCAGAAAGATGGTGAAAGCTTTTCAAAGAAGAAAATCAAGATAATTTTACATTTTTGTCCCCTGGGTAAACTTGATCCTCTTGTGACTCCCCATCACCTGCTGCACCCCCATCGTAAATTAGCATATCCTTCCAAAATGAAGTTTGTTGACTTGTAGAAGTAAATTTATCCTGTGATTGTTGCTGGTACTCGTGTAATCTTCCACTGTGACCTACACAAAACCTTTTCATATTTAGCTGCTCCTGAGCACTTTCTAATATGACATTCACTGCAGAAGAGGATATGGTAGTTTATTTAGGAGACTAGGGGAAGAGGTGAAAAAAATTCGGAATTAGTTTAATTCTTCATATTGAGCCTTTTTGTGTCTTAAGAGTGAGCTCAGAAGTTATATAAATGAGATTACATAACCTCTGCATGGTTTGATGTTTATGAGCTCCAAACAAATGAGACAAATAAGCATATTGCTGAGACACATAATTGTTTGAACTACCTTGCATCCCACTAAATGCATTATAGCTTTGTTCATCCACCGTGAGACCAGAATCATATGAATCCTCATTCTCACTGTAGAAAGCACCAATGTCTTTCAACTGGTCCTCATCCAAACTTAACTGCTCCTCGATCCTTCGCAATGCCTGATCAATCTCAGAGTTAGGTGAACCACTAATTCCTTCTGTTCCTTCCATTATATTCAAGTGACTGCTTCCCTCGTCCTTATTAAGTAAACTTGAAGTAACTTCAATGCAACTCGGACTAGAGGTGCTCTCATAAGGTTCACCAATTTCACTAGAAGCAGCAGCAGACCTAGTAAGCTGACTGGCATAGGAGATGGGACTCTGAACAGGAGTTGAAGATCCTGGAGACGACACTGAAAGGGGTCCAACGATTTTCCTACCCTGTTAAATATGAATGCAGTTGGTATATTATAGAAGCTCAAATGTGAGTAAGAAACACATCTAACCACTTTTAGATTTCAAACCTTGTAAAAAGTTATTGTCTGGTGCTGGTAACATGCATGACAAGAAAATTTTAGAGTCAAAGCCTAATGCTATTGGTAGAAAAAAAATAAAAAAAATAGTGGTCACAATATATGTGTATAAACGCACTCACATATACATGGGAAGGACAACTGCCCATGTATATAAAAATACAGTACATAATATTACAGGCTACAAAAATTAGGGATGGGGATGCATTACTATCACATGGATGGAAGGAATTTCCAGTCAACAAAAGGGAGTAGAAATATATATATAAATATAAATCAAGTTATCAACAAGAGAATGGACGTGTATGTGAAGTGCCTGATGCTATATCATATGGATAGTTTTATCCGTAAGTAAGAAATGCCATCTGTTGGTAATAATACTTTTCTATTATGTCCTTGAGGCTTACCATGGTTGTATCTCTGTAATGAACAAGCACAATATGCTCCATTTCCCTGTCACCATAAAATCAAGAATTGCAAATCAACCATTAAAGAAATCATGAATACAGGTAGACATGCTCATCGTTTGTTTAAAAACAGAATTTTAGTAGCAAATTGAACTTGAATCGAAGTGCCAGCTTTGAAATAAAATCATATGCTTGAAGGAAATATGTAAACCCTGCCAAGGAAGAAAATACTCACGAATTCAACATCCAATAGCTACGCCTCTGGAAATTAGGATTCTGCTCACCATGCGCATAGTAGCAATTCAAAGCTTCAACATTTCCAACCTATGCAAAAGGACTTTAACACAGGCAAAACTATGGAACACCATGAAATAAAAGAACAACGGGAGAGGTCATCAACCTTTAGACGTTCATGTGCTTCCCCAAGATTTTTTCCATCCTTCTTTTTCCTCCAACTATGACCGTCTCTACGGAAAAACCTCAAGGCCTTCCTGTCAAAGAGAAACAAAGAGCCGCCTGTAGACGCATTCAATCAACAAGGTAACAGCAATATCAGATATATATCTTCCAACGAAAAAAGCACATAAGTATATACTTGGTGGCTTTTGAGGGGGCTCGTGCGTGAGCTGCTTTTCCTCAAAACTCTGCAGTATGAAGAGCACCTCTCCAGGCTTTAGCCACCGGACTTGTGCTTCTTCCACTAGATATCTGAGATGATACCCTAATATATGAAACAAAAACGGCTTTAGAACTTCTTGGTCGATAAATATGTGGTCTGGGAAGATTCCAGAAAACTAACTAGAACAAATAACTTCGACAACATGATGAGGGCATTGAATGGCAAGCTGAAGGTTGATCAAGGACCAGAAAATAACATATGGAATCATACATGCAGACAAAGGTTACCTGGTTATGACACTTAGTTAGAACTTAAAGTCGTTCAATAATAAAAACAAACTTGAACTTGCATAAAGATTTCTTAGGAGGTGCACTTTGACTCCTCATACCTGAACATCCAAATGCCAGTTATGATTCTATACCAACACACGATGGATGCTGCTGAGATCTCTATATGCAAAACAAATAGTGCGAAGTAAAATATCTACAAATTAAGCACAAGCCAACCACATCGACCCCAAGCCCAAGGGATCGTATCACATTATTAAATCTTCCATAATCTTGGTAAATTGTTGAAAAACGAATATTGCGTAATTAATACTCTGAAGACAATTTAGCGACCAATAAACCAAAAAATACAACTACATGATGCTTTTCAATACCTCATCATTAAGCTGTAAATTGCACTAACTAAACCTGGATAAAATATTCAGATACATTCAATTATCACAGAGGAACAAATAAATTTGAAAATCTCACCTGACGTCGTCATTCGTATGTTCAACTCTTAGAAACACCGAACAGGTTCGAGCACACTAGAAAAAGCTCAGATGACGCCGATGCTTTCAATTAAGTAAGAATTTAGTGATTACAGATAAGTACCGTACCGGACGGCGGCGGAATACGGACGGCGTCACCCTGATCGAAAGGAAACGGTAGGTGGTTGGATCGACGACTATAAATCATACAGGGAGAAAGTCTTATATATATTCCTAAACAAATGGATCACGTTTTCAATTCAATATATTTTGTCGTTGATTTACATCTACTACACTCCAAAACTGATTGCAACAATTTAATTCCATTTAGTTATAAAGTGGTGTTTGGATTCCTTATAAAAACAACTTATTGACTTATTTCGATATGATATCAATAATAAGTATTTTTGAGTGTTTGGATAAACAACTTATACCGATGTCAAACCGATAATAGGAAGTTTTTTTTTTGAAGAAGTTAAACTTTTCTGACTTATAATAAGTTGATAAATGTTTTTTTAGAAAATTACAAGTTGTTTCAAATAAGCAATCCCAAACACCCCAAAAAAATGCATTTTCTTTAAATAGTCATTAATTCTTAAAATTACAATAATTGATTTAAAAAATCTTCATCTAAAACGTCCATAAATTATTAATTTCAATTTTAATTCGATAAATATAAAATATATTATGATAAACAAAGTTTATTTCATATCCTATATCCATTAAAATACAATTTCTAACATAATTGTGAAATAATACTTGATCATAAAAACTATATTTTAATCAAATAACAACAAAACTATAATTAAATAATCGTTACAATAAGTTAATACCAAATAATTTATTAATTAGATAATTATAAATCAAGTAAAATAAATAAATTAAATAAAATATTTATTTTAATTTATAAATGTTTTTAATTCAATAAATAAATGTTTAGAATTTTATACAGAAAATAATTTTTTTAATATTTTGTTTAGTTTTAATTAATTCACATGGTTGATTTATTAATAAAAAATAAAACAACAGTTCGTTACTTGTATATGATTTTGGAGATGGTCTTTGTATTCAAAAAATATAATATAATAATAAAATTGAGAAATATAAAAATTATTCATGTATTTTTAATAAACATACTTTCACAACATATTGAAAAGCATGATGAGATATAAAACACTTTTTTATTAAGATGATATATACTATAATTTTTAATATTATTCACTGTTACGTCAGCAAAAAGTACTGATTTGATGTTAACAATTACCAAAAACTAGTCTTCAATTAAAAAAATCATACTCACAATCTAACACAATTTCTTAATTAGAAATCCTATATAGCGATTAGAAAAACATAACAAATTATTTATCTTTATATAAATAGACGCACGAATGAGACACGACCAATTGGGGAACCCTATAACCACCTCGATGGAACCAGGGATTTCCCATAAAACAGGGGATGGGGACATAAATTCCCAAAAGTTAAAAATTAGGGATGAGGATAGGGTCGGATAACGTGATTCCGACTTGCCCAGTCCCCCTATATTGTATATTGTATGTTTATTATTAAACTAGTTGTGTACACGTGCAATGCGGCGGGAGCCGTGAATTTTAACAATTTTGAAGTTTTATTATGAAGATTTCACGATGATATAAGTTACACTTGGTCTTTACGTATTAATACAATTTAAATAAATAAGAGTTATGGTTCCAATTACAGTCTATCGATGAAAAAAATTGTATGACAGTTTAAAATCCAACATATTTAAACGACTCCACACATGTGCTCGATTTACACCAAAAACAAAGAATCAAGAGATCGAGAGCAATTGAATGAGAAAACTTTTAATAACTCATAGTGAATATCAGTTTGAATCTCACATTGGGGATGTAATAATGTGCATTGGTAACTTGTACTATATGTTATTTTAATTGTAGATTAAGAGATTTTAAAACTGAATGCATAAAATAGTAGTACTTAATGCATTATGAATTGTTTTTAAGACTTTGTACTATATAGTATTTTGTGCATTAAATATTGTTTTTAAGACTTTTGATAAATCTGGTTTATAAAATAGTATAGATATATTGTATATCATTATTATTCACCGATAAAATAAATCAAACACTTTGTTACATACATAAAAACTAAACCAAACTTTTTTACTCATTAAATAATATATTTTGTTAACTAAATATCGCAGTGAAAAAAATGTCAATTTTGTAAGTAATCAACCCAAGTGAATGTATAATAACATGATTTGAATAGTAACAATTAACAAAAAATAAATCAATTGCAAATGAAGAATAATGGCTACATGTAAGAAACAAGAGTCCATGATACCTACCACCATCATGTTTTAACCTTTACACACACATAAAGTCATAAAGCACCAACCACAAATACAATTCAGCTTTCCATATGCTTCCTCAAGTAAAGAATGCACACACACACACACTAATTTTGTTTCAGAAACCCAAAAAATTAAAATAAAAAATAAAAATTAAAGCCTATATTGTATGTCTTCTTCATAAATCATCTAGAGTTCCTTCCTGCACTAATACTTCAAGAAGCTCAGGTTTCATTTCCACTTTTCCCTCAATATCTCTTATCACCTGCTGCTGCTCACAAACATCATTCATGGTGTTCCCATCATTTTTCTGGGCACTTCGTACAACACTTCTCCTGCTTCACAACAGTTTCCAAGCTGCATCATCAAAATACAAACCATTAATTAGTCACAATCCTACAAAATGCCTCTAACCATACCTACAATTCTAAAATCTACACATAAATGCACAAGCAAAATTGAAATAAATCGAACGAAGAAAACGGGTACACGAATGCAACTTCTTATAAGAAGAAACAGAACGCATAATATACTCTTATTTGTTCCAACTTCTGGTAGTAAACTGAGCTCAAGAAACAACTTCACCACAGCAAACCAATTCCTCATCTCCTAACTGTGATTATAGAATTGTGCAAGATCTACGTCATGATCGACAATAACAAGGTAATAGAATACCAAAATCCAGTCTCTATTTAAAAAGGGAATGATTGCAAATACCAAACAGATTGATCAAACAAGAAAGAAGTCTGTACCTTCCTAACGATATAAATGTTCAATTTTTCTCATGAAACGTTTCAATTACGTTACTTTCTTATAGGTCAGTTTACGCATAACTTCTAAGGCCAACATGTCTCGTGTTGATTGTAAATTGAAGTCTACTTGTTTGACATTTAATAACCAAACACAAACCTTTTTTCTGGGGTCTAATTAACTTCGTTTTCATTCTAGTGTTCATCATATCTTTTTCTAGCTAGAGAGAGCAAGTGAAAGCTCCATAAGAGTACACCACCACAAATCTGAGACATACTGCCCAGACACCACAACTATGTAATAGAAAATAAAAGTTGCTACTCTTCTAGGCAGACAGGGGAAGAGGGTTGGAAAGGAATGCATTTTCCATGGGAACTCAATGACTCTAATGAAAATATTTTTTGTCTTTTTCTGAATATGAAGGTGTATAGTAGATGCAAGAAGAAACAAAGAGAAAGAAAAATCTTCCATTTTGTGGTTTTCCACCAGAAAAACATACAATATGTGAATAGGCAAAACGGCTGTTTCAAACAAGCCTCTACAAACTACATAAGCATTGATCTTATGTTTAGTCGTCTATTAGCATCCACAACATTTACAGCTCGTTTCAAGCTATAAAGAGAACAATTTCACCCGTCCACCCTCAGGACTTGGTTGTGTCACAGACAAGGGGAAATTTTACTCATTCAAGATTGAGTAATCATATCCCACAAGCTACAAACCTACACTTCAAAAAATTATGATCCTACCAATATTGAAGATGTTGATAACTTCAGGATAGCAAGAAAGAATGGTTATATGAAATGCATTAACCCCAGAAAATAGGTATTCTGTCTTGTAAAATTGCGATTTTTGTTTATAAACTTAATTCGATAAATTTTCAGTAATACTGAAACAGAGGAATAGATACTTTCAGCTCCAAAAATAAAAATTATTTGAAAGTTGAAACCATATCTTTCCATGTAAAATCCACGCCCAAAATAAAAAGCCAGATTGAGCTGTTCTTCATTTGGAAGGAACGGACACTAAGACACGGATGTTATAGCCTACTTTATATCAATTTATAAAAACAGTAAACTAATGCATAAAGAAACCTAGTTCCGAAAAAGAATCATGTCCACGGATCAACAAATGAACAGAGATTCTACCCACTTGGACTAAGCATATTTGTTGAACTTGTAGATTTCCCAAATAACTTCACCCCTTATATTTATATAATTTGTATCGAATGTATGTCGTCTAAGATTTCAAAAACTCCAAGGATGAATTACTTCACCGGAAAAATATCCCTACATGGTTACTGGTTATACACAAACTAAATAAATAGTTCCACGGGTTATGGGATTTGGTATGATACTTATGAGATCAATGATGATATCGATAAGATTGATATTCAAATATTTCTCAGCATATTAATTTGAACCCATAAGCGGGACCACCATCCAATAGCCCCGATAGCAGGTATAAGGTTTTGTCACCTTAGGCAGGATTTTTTAACACATAAAACTTCGTTCTATTCACAATTTGATGATTTGAGCTAATAAGAGCATAGAAAAGTTTGAAAAGTATAATACAGACAACAATTATATCATACCAGGGACGCCTTTTCTTGGTGAAGATGGAGATAGGGTATGGTAGAAAATGGCACGACCAACCATGGATATACTTGAAACAATCCCAGCCACATAAAACAACAAAACTAAACCAAGAACCCAAGGCATCAATAGAAACCCTATGAAGAACGTTATCGATCCACACAACATCAAAGCCAACGATATCCCCAATAACAAAGACGCGAAACCCGCCGGAGATATCTGCGATAGTGGAGCCGGTCGCGGCTGCCTCCGCGACGACGTAGACACCTCATCGGAGAACTGAATCGGCGTAGGAGGATACCGGAGTAAGTTGAGAATCATAGCAGACAACTCGTAAAAAACCCTAGATTGTTGATCTTGATGTGGTTGCCTTGTCATCATCTTGTTTAGATCCAAAAAAACCAGTACTCGTTTTCCAATTCGCTGTAAAAGATCGACAACGTCAACGAAAACTAATACTCGATTCGTACGAATTATTTGCTGAAATCGAGGCAGTCGGATAAACTCTGAGTAGGGTTCGACGAAATCGAATTGAATCTGCTACTAGAAGTGAATTTTCCTTTAACCTTTCGAATCTTCTGAAATCCAATTACATCTGCAGCAGCCAAGTTCGATGTAGCTTCTCTGCTCCGATCAGAAATCAAAGATCAAACAGTGGAAATTATGATTTGGAAAGAATTTTATGAGAAATCTCCAAAGATTTATGAGAGAGTTATCTTCAAAAAGGGTTGACGTTACTTCAAGAACAGGGAGAAGATAACGTACAAAGATACAAGAAGTAAGTTACAAATATAATCCCTATACTATTTAATATATTTCATTTTTGGTTCGTGAGTTTTTTATTTTACATTTTTTTATCCAAAATGGACTATGTTTTTAAGTTGCATTCAAAATTATAAGTTAACATGTTGCTTTGGGTTTGAGGTGTTACAATTATTATCTTTAATATCTGTTGTTATTAGTTTTTATAAAATCAAAACTATCAAAAGAAATAAATGAATACAACGTGTAATAATCAATAACATGATTGATTAAGAATTGGTAAAGAAAATGTCAGTAACACATAATTTAATTCTAAAAATAGATAGAATTTAGCCCAAAACAATTTAATTACAACAAAACTTTAATTTTTTAAAACACTGAGAGGCATCTTAAATCCTTAATTCAAATCATTATTGGTAGAAAATGACACGTAGCAATCATGTTGACCAATCATGTTGACCAATCATATTCAAGGCAAGGTGGTTATCGAATTCACTTAGGGGTTTGTTTTTGTTAATTTCTCGTTAAATCATGTATGAATGAAGTTGTTTGTGTAGATTAATTAGTCTGTATACATCAAAAAAGGGTTTTGTGTATTTTTTTTGTAAATGGAATGAGTGTACAGTAATTGGGAAAGACGAGTTTGGAAAAAAAAAAATCTTTAAAAGCTTATTGAATAAGTCACTTTTTACATTATTAAGTTACTACCAAACAATCATATATAATTGATCGAATAAGTTGTGTTTTATTAAACTGTCAACAAACATGCCTTTAGTGGTTTTGCATCAAGGCCTCTACAAGAAGGTCTGACCTCTAATGATTGATTATGACCAATGACCAATGACCATTGACATCTAATAGTAATTTGACTTAAAAAATATATTAATATTGTTAGTCTCAATGAAGACAGATGTTATGTAAGGTCAATTGAGATTGTCGGTAATTAATTTTTTTCCTAAAAATATTGTTAGTCTCAAATACCAAAACGAGACGAAATAACAAAAATTGGACCAGGAAAGCACAAATAATTTGAAGAAACTAAAATGTAGGTGAATCAATTGTGTAAGGACTAGAATTGTAATTTACATAAAGATGAAAGAAATGGATAAGAGACGGAGCGTGGATAAACGCGCCAGGCATGTTGGAGTAGTGTCGGCGGTGAGTGGGTGACGTGACGTGGAACCTTATCTAAGTTGGGCCAGAAAGACCACAAGTTCAGAAGGGTTGGCCCATCAATGCCTTTCTATAAGGATTTCTTTTTTCTATTTAAGAATTTATTTATTATTATAATATTTCTTATTTTTGTTTTGTATGAATCGCAAGTGGCGCCTCAAATTCATAACCCACTTACGTTGCGTTTGAGAAATTAAATACTCATACGATGCATTGAAAAACATTTCCATGTTTCGTTTTATTTACTGTTTCTATTGATAATATATAGTTTATGTTGTTTTGAAAAAGATAAATGTTTTTATTTTTGAATATAAATAAATTTGATAATATCATAAAATTTTAAAAAAATATATCGATATTAATGTTAAATTAACTATTTAGAAGTTTTTTTTTTGTATAATTTTTCATTCAATTTTTTATTATAATTTAATTTAGGTTTAATAGTGAAGTAATTTATTTTTAACTTAACAATATACTTTTTATAAAGATAATGATTATGTTAGAACTTTTAAATTTTTTATATTTAAAATGAGATGATTATTCTTTATTTGATTATGTTTATTTACAGTTTTATATGAATTTAAAAATTGAATTTTAATAAATTATACTTATCCATAATTTATTTATAATCTTTAATTTTTAATTTAATTTTTTATTATAATTTAATTTAGGTTCAATAATGAAATAATTTATATTTGGTTTGAAAATATAAGTTTCTTATAAAAATAATAATTAGTTATTTTGTTAGAACTCGATGATTATCTTAATTGTATTTTAGATTTTTTATATTTTAAAATGAGATGTTTATCCTATATTTGATTATATTTATCCATAGTTAGTTACACGAATTCAAACATATAACTTTAATAAGTTACACTTAATGCATAATTTACTTGTAATATTTAACTTTAAGTAATATACATTAATAAACAGTTCCATATGCATAAAAAATGATTTTAATTGTTTCTACTAAATACTTTATAATATAATATAAATAGAATGAAGAGAACCTAATAACCCACCAAATTTTTAAAATTACATGTTTTGACTTTATAATTTAATAGTTTAAAACTTTAACCATCATTTACTTCTTTAATATCATTTGATACATAGTACTTATGTGAAAAAAAGTTATGACCATGATTTAGCATGACCCCACCATGGTTCTTTATCACCATATGGTGCATAAAGGTCCATCACCGTGAGATATATATATATATATATATATATATATATATCGTATTTTTGCTCCTTTTTAATACAATATTGTTTAAATTTTACATTTTTTCTCCTCAGTTTCACTATATAAAAAATTCAAATTTCATATTACCAACACAAAATCAACACTTTAATCTCCATTACCTTAATATAATCTTCATTACCAAAATTTAATCATTTACATCATGATAAGTTGCTTATATTAATTTTAATATAATCTTATTTTACAATGTATTATTTTAATATAATCTCATATTTACAATATATTACTTATATTAATTTTAATATTATCTCATTTTTAATATATTACTTGTATTAATACATTTTCATTTTTAATATATTATTTGTATTAATATATTGTAAAAATGAGATTATATTAAAACCAATACGAGTAATACATTGTAAAAATGAGATTATATAAAAAAATACATTGTAAAAATGAAATTATATTAAAATTAATACATTGTAAAAATGAGATTATATTAAAACTAATATAAATAAACTTACCATGACGTAGACGATTAAATTTCGATAATGGAGATTGCATTAAGAAAATGAAGATCAAAGTGTTGTTTTGTATTGATAATATGAAGTTTGAATTGTTTATATAGTGGGTTGAGAAGAAAAAAAATAAAAATTGAATAGTGTTGCATTAGAAAGGAACAACAATAAGAAAAAATATATATAAATCTCACAGTAATGACACCCTTACGCACCAAATGGTGCTAAAGAAGTAAATGATACTAAAAAACCATCGTGGGACCATGTCAAATCATAGTCATAATTTTTTTTCCTTCACACAAGTCCTCCTACACACCAGTAAATATTGATTAAAGTTTTAAATTTTTAAATTTTAGTGTTAAATATGTAATTTTCAAATTTTGGTAGGTTATTTTTGTCAGGATCTCAAGAAAACTCTTTGTTTTTAATTTTTGAAATATAGAAAAAAAAAAAGAGAGAAGGAAAACTCTTTAAAAAATTATTAAATTATAAATTATCAATCTTTCAGATATATTTTTAAAAAGTATATAAATAACATATTTTCTATCATTTCTCTCTATTTAAAAACAAAGGGAAATTCATTTTCCTTCCCTTTTAAAAAGACATGAAATTATATTCCTTTACTTTTTTATATTTCATTTATTTTCTTCCTAAATTTTAAAACATAAAGTTAAAAAATATAATTAATAGTTTTTTAAGAAAAAACCAAAATGCTAAAGGATCAGATATTTTTTCTAAATATTTAATTTCAAACTTTTTAATTGGTAAAATATTGAAAAAAAGATTTTTTTTTTTCTGTAAATTATTTTTGAAAAATTCTCCAACTTTAAAGAATGTTATATTTTTTTTAAAGTAAAAAATTGTCCAAAATCTTTATCTTCTATTATTTTACGATTTATATTTTTTAAATCTTTTAAATTAACTGGAGATATTTCGCAAATATATGGAAACCTTCAGAATTTGTTAAATTGTTATGTATCTTTTTAAAATAACTAGAAACGTATTCACACAATATAGCGATATATATATATTGATTTTTTTTATAAGGAAAAAAAAGGGGTGCAACACGAGGACTTCCCAGGAGGTCACCCATCCTAGTATTACTTTCGCCCAAGCACGCTTAACTGCGGAGTATTGATTTATGGTTTAATAATCTAATTTTTATAAAAATAATAATTAAGTATTTTGTTAGAAGTAAATGATTATCATTTAGATTTTTTATATTTAAAATAAGATGTATCATATATTTAATTATGTTTATCTACAGTTAGTTACATACATTCAAACATGAAACTTTAATAAGTTATACTTACGCATAATTTATGTATAATCTTGAATTTTAAGTAATACATATCAATAAACAATATTTCAGATATAAAAAATAATTTTTAATAGTTTTTATCAAATCATTTATAATATGGTATAGATAAATAACTGTATTTTAATGAATATCATCGCAATAAATGCACTGAATGTATTTGAGAAGATAATTTTCTTCCATTCTCTAAGCAATAAATGTCGGCATGAGTAAAAAACAATTTGTTGTTTTCACAAAAATTAAAAAATACATAAATTCGAGTCATTTTAATTTAAAAAAATAAATTTTGTAAAATTAAAACAAAAATTTAGAAAAAAATAGAATAAGTACTTGAAATTAAATTTTTTTTAAAAATTGATAGAATAATTAGCATTAATTATTTTACAGAAAACAATGTTAACTTATAAGGGGTGTAATTTACCATCATAGAGACCGCTTACCAAATATTTACCTGATAAGCATTTATTGCTAAAATTTCAACACTATCACTTACTTACCGGGTAAGATTTTAGTCAACAAACACGACATCATATGCAACAATTTACCCGGTAAACACTAACCGTGGTAAGACTGATTGCCCTCACTGGTAAGACTCTCGATCCTTGTCTCGTTATTACCGGGTAAGATTTTTGATCATTGTCATATTCATCCTGTAAGATAATGTAACTTGATAAGTACTAACCCGAGTAAGCAATTGGTAAACGGCCCTTAAGGCTTCATCCTACCAACAATGCTTGATATAACAATTCAAGAAAGCAAGAAAAGGATACCCATCGATTTGGTAGCAAGGAAGATCGAAAAGTAACCTATGAAACCAAAGAGTTATGCTTTTTCTCCTACTTCAACTTCGCGGATGATATTTCTTTAATATATTTTACTGTAAAATTGAGTGTTATTATTACAATTTTTTAACTATTTAAAGAAGTTTGGGTAAAAGAAACCAAACCTTTCGAATCCCTCTCTTTCCGTTTCCATTGATGACTTTTCATTTAAAATTTTAGCCCAACTTTAAGCGACGAATGACATTAAAATCAATTTTTATTGACCAATTAGAATTGTCTCCTACGATCTCGTTACTCATTGATACTATTCTTGAATAACCTAAAGAATTGAACCCAACCATTAACTAACTTTAATCAAATATTTTGAAACTTGTCCTTTCCCATATCTAGGTATGACGATGCTCAAGAGATAATGGTTAGTTTTGCATATGAATAAAGGAGATTCTTCATCCAATTTCAACACCTCCTATGCAACATTTTTCATATAAAAACCTCCAAAACCCGATTCAAATCAGTCTATAATCTATTCCTTCCTATTTTGAGAATGACAGAAGAGCGAGACAAGAAGAACAGGAACATAAATACATAGAGAAAGAGTTAGTTTCATACAAGAACAATAAACAAATAAGAGAATAAAAATCGGTCGAATCACATGTGATTTTACACTAAAATCATGTGTAAAATCACATGTGATTTATGTGACTTTGCACACGAGTGCATGCATTGACTCTTAGTGCGAAATCACATGGAACTTAGAACGTAATTTGACGATTTTCATATTCTCTTATTTGATTGCTATTATTTGAAACTCCCCTCTCTATAGATAGATGGTGAAACTGTTGCATAACATTAAATAAAAGAGTCATGAGCAGCAGTTTTCAGCAATCATATAGACATGAGTTTGTTACAAATGACTTACAATAATAAAGATTAATTAAACAAACACACCTGGGTGGGAACGAGATGAATATCTTCCATCTTATGATGAGTAGCTAAGGATGGATATATATATATATATAGCATGCATGCCCACAAATTAATTAATCCATTATTATTATTATTATTATTATTAATATTATTTTATTTTCTTTAACATGGCAACCATCCTTGCATGTAATTATTCATACTTGGCCCTGCTCCTCCTCCCGCAGCTGTTAGTGGATCCGTTTGATACCTAAAAATCAATAAAGATGACTCAATTAATGTCAAACAGCATCACAAAAACTTAATAAGAGTGCATCATTCACGTGTCACACATATTCGTCGTGAATGTTTGCGTTCATTATTCATCAAGAATGGGAACAACCGGAGACACGTGCCATGCATGCTTTCCTTTTGTCTCCCCATTCTCAACGAAAAAAATGTTTGCAATTGAAGTTTTGAATCCTAAAAAGGTCAAAAAAATTCTCAAGTAATGTGATGAAAATGATGGTGGTTTAGGATGATGAATGATCACCCCATTTGTAAAGTGGGTCCACAGTCGAGCGGATGAAAGATGGCTTCATGATCAGTTTGATGTGGAGGTGCAGGTTGTCTGTTATCATAGCAGACTTCCTGCTGCTGATACCAATGGACTTGATTTCCTTCTATCAGCTGCATCCAAATTAATTAATTCATTAATTAATTAATAATATATATATAGGGCAAAATGCATAAAATAGCAATCTACTTTCATAAATTTCTTTATTATAGCATTGTACTTTCAGTTTTTCTTCTTACAATAATGTACTTTCAAATTATTTTTTATTAGAACATTGTACTTTAAAATTTTTACCCATTATAGTATTGAGTAAACCTTTTGACTTAAATTTACCCATTATACTAGGTTTTCATGTCACCTCATTGTCCATGTAGGCTGTCCACATGTACTATAGTGATGTGACTTTCTTACTACATCATTGTACTTTCAAAATTATTTTATTATAGCATCTACTAGTTCTTATTAAACACTGTATTTTTAATTTTAATATTTAGATATTTTACATGTTTTTTTTAATAAATGTATTAAATGAATTAAAAAATTCTAAATTATTCATTAATATACCAATATCAATAAAACTAGTAGAATACAACTTATCTCGCTAATATTTTTAAAAAAATATGTGTTTTTTGAAAAAAGAAAATAAGAATTGTTCTTTTTTTACCAAAAAATATTATCTTTACTTGACGAATATATTATATTTGTTTACAAACTTTTTACTTGACGTATAAATATATTAAATTAATTAAATTTTTTTGAAGTATTTATTAATATAACAATATTAAAAAATTGTAGATAACAATTTATTTCGTTAGTATTTGAAAGAGAACTTTAAAAGATATGTATTTATTTGAACAACATAAAATAGAAAAAGTTGTTTTTTTTACAAATAAAATATATCTCAAAAATAATGTTGCATATTTATTTAATAAATATTTTACTCTAAGAATATTTAATTTAAATGCAACTTAATAAGAAAAAGTAAAAAAAAATTAAATGTATTTTTAGATAATAGCAATGAAAAATGAAAATCACTAATAATAATTTGAAATATGTTTTTATTTTAATTTTAGTTAAGTCATCAAAATGATGTGTCATCCACATCACCTCATTAAAGCCACACAAGCAAAAAAGTCAAAGGGTTAACTGGTTTAAAAGGTAACAGGTTACCCATTGCTATTATGGGTAAATTTTTTAAAGTACAATGCCTTAATAAAAAATAATTTGAAAGTACATTGTTGTAATAAAGAAAAACAAAAGTAGAATGCTATAATAAGAAATTTTGTGAAAGTAGGTTGCTATTTCATGCATTTAACCCTATATATATATATATAATCAATCTCATGATTAATTTCTGATTCTACACAAACAAAAGAAATACATACCCTTTGCTTCAAAGTCCTGTTTGCCTCATTTAATGCATGCTCCTGAAGAATATATGAACAACTATATATTAGAAGAGCTATATCAATAAAATGGATTCTTATATATATTATAGTTGTCACCTTTTTTTGAAGATCTGTAAGTGTGTCCAGCATGAGCTGTGTCTGTAGGTCCAAATGTGTATCCAACATTTATGAGAGGTCAAAATGATTTAAGCGAACAATCAAAGATTAATTAGAGTGTAATTAAGTGATTAATATATACCCGAGCTGATCTGATATGCTTGAGAGATGAATCGAGCTGCCTTTCTAGCGACTCAAGCTCCTTGCAGTTGAGAGGGCCAAGATCCTCACCCAGGAGATTCCTAGCCATTACCCATCGTAGTACTCAGTTAGTTTGACGATCGATGACGATATATTAATTAATTAACGCTCTTTAATTGTGTTTCTAACTTTGATTAGTTAATTACCTCTGGGATCGTTGTAGTGCTTCATACCGTGTCTTGAGTTTCAAATACTCCTGCTGACTACTTAGCTCCTACAACCATGTATACGAAACAAATTCATATTATGTATGAACCTTGGAACAAGTTAATAAACAAAACCACCACAATACAACATGGACCTCGATCAGGCTGGTCTGAAGAAAATTAACTACGTTGGATATGATTATACAGATGAGAGTTGGATACTCTTTAAAAGGTTTTAGAGTTTTATTTTGACATGGATAGTTTTGTAATTCACCAAACAATCTTTTTTTTTGTTCAATTCAGTCCTGTCATGTTCGAACGTGGAACAACAAACTTTTGTTCCGTCTGTCCCACACAATGAAAGCACGGTAAGATTTTATCACTAAACTCGTTGTTTCTTCTTATTTTAAGAATATATAGACCCAAATCATTAGCAGAGGCAATGTATGTTAACCCAGGTGTTATTTCTAGAAAACGGGGAACTCACCTGCAATAGTTGATTAAAACCCTAATTGTATACGTAACATCGATCGCATGCCCTAATTAAACCTAGCCACCTTCAGGGGAAATTAATTATTTTTAATTTGATTGCTCCGTAAATTAAGGAGGCAATTAATTTAGGGCAAAAATTTCGATAAAAATGATAAGCATAATTATAAAAATGAATTAAGGCAAATATACTAAATTCCAGGGTACGAATTATTACATATAAACAAGACAACTTTATAAACTTCATGTAAAAATTCATATCTAATGAAATAAGAATGTAAATCCAAAATATTTTAAAAATCATTCATCAGATGGTATTAAAGATTACTTGAAATTATACTCACATTTGATTTGTATTAAAAATTTAAATGGACCTATCATATATTCTAGTCTATGTCGACCTTTTTTGGTAACATGGACCACCAATTACCTCTGAGAAGGATTCCTAAAAGCGAACTAACCCACAAAGTTGTATGGGGTTGGGTTCACGTGAAATCAGGTTATTTTCATGAAACTATTTTTTACACTTGAAATTTCACAACAAAATGCTGTGAAAGCAAAAAAAATCTGAACTATCACAATGTTTTGTTGTTAAGTTTTAAGTGTAAACAAGTGGTCTCATGGATCTTAAGAAAACAGTTTGGTCACACGTGATATTAAATCAGGTTGTGTGGTGTCTTAATTATTAAGCATTTGGTAAAACACTTGAACATGAATCAATATATAAACCTATCATTTTTATAACCATGGATGTTGAGGCTAATTTATATGCAGGTCGACTAATCATTTGTTAGTGTTTACTAATATATCTATCCTATTTCCTGAAAAAATATATCCTATTTCTTCCACAGACATGAGACACCAATAATATATCCTATTTCTTGAAAGATCTATTATGATTTGCTTCCTGTTATTTTGACAAGTAATTTTGGCAATTTTCTTGCAGACTACAGATTTTTAGGAATGATGAACAATTTCCCATAATATTACACACGACCTTTTTAATTTCCTGTAAATCAATTTCCCATCCTTTATATGTTATTTTCTTCGTGGTTGTAGTGGAACTCCAAAATCATCTCCATCCCAGCTTATTCAGATGCCAAAGGTCAGTTGATGATTATGCAAATCCAGATTTAATATTATTGACTCAACGTATTTAGTTTCATATACAAAAACACAACATTCTTTAAAATCTTCATCTCTGTACATTAGTTTTTGTCTGGGTTGCATTCATTATCTATCCATCTATATCTCATTCTTTACTTCATGTTTCTCTTATATATAGAGAACAATGTTCGCTTCAGTTCATTGTTTAAGACTCCTAGTTATAAAACTGAGGATACTAATGCAATCGATTGAAAATCTAAGTTAATCACTAATCATGAATTCATGACGATTGAATGGACTGACTATTTTAGGTGATCAAGAAAAAAGGGAACTTTTTGATGTTTCAGTATCCATACAGCAAAAAAGTGAGAAGTTACATATATACGCATATTTATTAGGTTTTAAAGAAATATTTTGTTGAATATATAGTAAATAGACTACACTATGGGGTTGTCTACCATAAACACTTATCGAATCATTTATCTTACCCAATGAATATGACAGGGGTCGAGAATATATTATCCGGTAAGAGCGATGATTATGACGGAGGGTCTTACCCGGTAAGTAAGGGTGACGACCCTTACCGGGTAAATTGTTGTATACGATACCGTTTTGATTGACTACAATCTTACCGAGTAAAATAAGTTAAAGTGTTGACTCTTACAAGTAAACACTTCCGGGTAAACATTTGGCTAGGTAAACGACCCCTACATAATATAAGACATCAAAAATGTTTATGCCATCTTAATAAACTGCTTTATAAGACCTAGTTTGTAGGATGAAACAATAGAGCCTCCTCTGTAAGGGTGCTCTACTAAGATTATAGAAAGTTTTTGGGCATTGTAACAAGTGTTTTAGAACATTTTTTTAGAAAAGCTTCATATTAGCTATTTTAGTTTTTTATATAGAACACTATTTGAAAAATGTTTCCTATAAAAATGTGTTCACATTGTATTTTTCAAAATGGTTCTATAAAATAGCTAATAAGACACTTTATATTAAAAATGTTCTACAAAATTTATTAAGGCGACCAAATAGTCTTATAAACTTATTACAACAATTTTAAGATAACATTTTATTGTTTGGTCCTATAAACTTAGTCCTATAAAGCAATTCATTGGGACACCTAAAAATTGTTGGCGAACTATATATATAAATCTAATTTTGTTGTAGTGATATAAATTCAAGGTTTTATGCTTGTTGATGAAGACAAGGATATATATATATATATATATATATATATATATATATAGAAGGTTTAAAACGAGAACACTAACTATTTAATTAAAAACCAAAAAAAAGGTTGTTGATGTACAAAATCATATATGATTCTCTCTCTCTTTCACACACACACACACACACACATATATATATATATATATATATTCACACACAAATCATACATGATTCACACACACACACACACATATATATATATATATATATATATTCATGTACAAAATCATACAAGTTCAAATATTTTTTTGACATTAATATAAAATCACTTGTGATTTTGTACCTTAGTGACCTTTTTTCCTATTTTCTTAAAAAGTTAGTCGTTTGAACCTTTCCCCCCCCCCTCTCTCTCTCTGTGTGTATATATATATATATATATATATATATATATATACACTTGTTATATACATCGATTCTACTTGTATATACATGTATTACCTTATTACATTGTCTGCTTGGACACAAAATTGAATCGTAGTCTACCGGTCATATTTCCAATCTATCTTATATTTGATTGCATGCACGTGTGTCGTGCACAAGTCATTGGCCCACAGGGAAATAACCTTTCAATCCTAGTGGTTGACTTAAGGTAAGGTAAGGTATGCGTACATCTTACCTCTCCTAAATCCTACTTTCAAGTGCAATATATTGTGTACAATCTTTATCTCCTAAATCCTACTTTCAAATGCAATATATTGGGTTTGTTTGTTTTGGTGTTAGCATTAATTCTACCATTTTCTCCAGAACTTAAAAGGCTAGCTTGAAGAGGAGCTTTAATTCCTATACAAGCTGTTAACTAATGGAGGAACATCTAGATTCAAGCTCCGGCAGCAATTTAACTCAGAAGATGAACCTTAAAGTGATGGATGATTACGGTTATTCGCAGAAATACAAAGGGGTGGTTCCTCAGCAAAACGGAAATTGGGGGGCTCAGATATATGCAAATAACCAACGGATATGGCTAGGGACATTCAAGTATGAACTGGATGCAGCTATGGCTTATGATAGGGCATCTATCAAGCTTAGAAGTGCAGATGCCCCAAGAAATTTCTCTTGGACTAAGCTAACACTTCAAGAGGCAAAGTTCCAAAGTCATTATAGCATGGAAACAGTTTTGGCTATGATCAAAGATGGATCATATCAAGCCAAGTTTGATGATTTTCAAAGAGAGAAAAGGGGAGAAGAGATTGATCATAATCTATCTCCTGGAAAGGAAAGCTGTGGTTTTTCTTGTAGGGTACTCTTTCAGAAGGAACTAACACCAAGTGATGTGGGCAAGCTTAATAGGCTAGTTATACCCAAGAAATATGCTGTTGGATACTTCCCTCCTGTGCCCGATGAGTCGGAAGGCTATGCAAATGATGAGGTGAATCTTTCTTTTTACGATCCTCAGAAAAGGTTGTGGAAATTTCGGTATTGTTATTGGAAGAGTAGTCAGAGTTTCGTGTTCACTAGGGGTTGGAATCAGTTTGTAAAGGAGAAAAAATTAAAGGCAAAGGACAAGATAACTTTTTATTATCATGAGAATCTTGAAATACCGAATATGGGGTTTTGGGTTATTGATCATTTGTGTTTGTCTACGAACAATAATGGAGCAAGTTTGAAACTTGGTGAGGAAACAAATGACAATTGCTCCTTAGTGAAGGAAGGGGAAGAAAATTTGAAGGATGAAAAGACGAATGCCGAAACCATCCAAAGAAGCAGTGTAAAGACCAAAGGGTTAAAGCTGTTTGGTGTCCAAATAATGGAATGACAAGTTGATGCTTCTTTATCAAAGCTGATCTACTTGCTTAAGGAACCTGAGAGACGTCTATGACAGGGCCTATTTTCATGTTTATGTGAAGTTCTAATTTAGATTAAACAATTTTAAAATGCTTCTGTTCTTTATGGAATACAAATTTTTCACATAAATATAGATGTTGTATTATACACGATAGAGTAGAATTTCAAATTTTCTTTTCAATATATGTAGGAACCCTTTTTCTCACCCACAGTTTTTTCTGCCTTAGACTTTCTAGGAGTAATCTAATGGGGTTCCATATATTCTCATATAGTATATATTAGAGAGCCAAGGTCTACCATATATATAGGACATATTTTCTCGTCTAGCCTCCATTGGAGGGGTCATGCTGAAGTCCTACATCGGTTAGATTTGGATATTTTTTCTTTAATATATGTTGGAAACCCCTTCTCTTTTCTACAGCTCTTTTGAAGAGTAATCGAATGAGGTTCTACATATTCTCTAAAAATGAGTGTTTAGTCTTTTAACTAATTTCCTTTTTGCTAGCGATTACCGATTCAGGTTCGGCATCTACAACAACTTTTATTGTTTCAGTTAGAAACTAAATCTAGTATGTACATCAGTACATGTGTTTTACTCAAGGGATATCATATATTCAAGTGGCCAGACTTTTAATTTGAAGAGTAAAGGTAGAACATAAGGATTGCATATTATTATCAAATAGCTAGTAATTCATTAGATCTTCTCATTCCATTCACCTTCCTGGAAATCAGTTTATAGAAGCAAAACATTCGGCGTTCTCTCGATACCAAACCTTTAAAATTAATTGGTACCAAAAAGTAAACTTGTTTAGCCATTTCTGTTGGGTGTATATATATATATATATATATATATATATAGAGAGAGAGAGAGAGAGAGAGAGAGAGCTGAGAGTGAAATACAAACCATTTAATTAGTACAAACCAATCTCAACCGTTCATCCAGTCTAATGAATATCTGGCTTTATAAATATCTCGTTTGCTTACTAATCTAAAACGTTAATCATGCTGAATGAACTCTTCATAATTAATATCTTGATCAAAATAAATAAATCTCACCATTTTTATAAATATTTCATTTGATTGATTTGTATGGTTTGTACTAATCATAGGGTTCGTATTTGGAACTCCCCTCCTCTCTCTCTCTCTAATATATATATATATATATACAATCTTTGTTAAGACAAATCTGCCAAATACCAATTTACGAATGAAATCAAGAGAAAGATGAGCGTAGGGAAAGAGAATGCTAACCAGTGCCTCCTTTGCAGAGACATTTGACTCCGGTGCTCCATAGTTGCATTTTTGATACCTCTCAAGTGTTTTGAGCATGCTGCTAGAATAACATATATCAATACACGTAAAATATTAAAACTGAAGTTAAGATGGTATATGAAATGGAAAGTAAATAACAAAAAAAGATTATTGGTGTCAAATAACCCATGTGTTAATTCAACATTTTAAACCAAGTCAATAAACATTGGGCAAATTAGTAGAGCATATATATAGGTAGTAGTTGAAAGAGTGTTTGACACTGAAAGAACTCATGGTCTGCACCTAAAGGCCAGGACTTAAAAGGCGGCCCTGACCCAAAATATGCTCCTAAATCAGAAGGTGCGTCTAGAAAACATTTTGAGGAAAACTTGGGTCACCGCAGATGGATCCAAAGGCCAAACCCCCTTTCTTTGTCTGCAGTTCTGTGGGTCACAGAATGGATCAATTCAAGAGGACATGACGCTCTCCATGCCTCTTCCTTTGGCAAGGGATTCCTTGCGAGTTTTCCAAGTGCACAAGCCTCAGACTGCTGGGTTGTATTGCTGAGACTTGGCATTCCCTTTACCATTTGGGTGGACTAAAGACTCAGGGCTTAAATGCCCAAACCGTAAATTCCATAGCCATGCATGTTTTATCTTGAATAGCCATGCTGGATGCAGAGAGATTGTCTCTAGTAAGCTATACCGAAAATATCTTATTGGTTGCCATCTTGACTTTACCCAATAAGCTCCCATCAGGGTCTTTGATAATGCAGTGACCCTTAACAAAGTATACATCATAGTCCCTTAAAATCAACTGTTCAACACTCAGCAGATTGTGTTTGAGTGCCGGAACTAAATACACATAACGTATTCTCTTGACACCCATGGTGCTCACATCAATGTATCCTTTCCCTTGGATTACATGCTTGCGTTCATCTCCTGTTCTTACTTCACTATGTAATTTCTCATCGTCACAAACATTCGTTTGTTTCCAGTGATATGGTTGCTACAGGTGCTGTCTATGTACCATATTTCATCAATTGTATCGACTGGATTGTCATGCGTCATAAATATGGTTTCAGGCTCATTAGATTCCTTCTCATGCATAAACGTGGAATCTCTATTTTCTTCAGCCTTTTTCTTTCTACAAAACCTTATAGTGTGGCCATAGTCACCACAATGGTAACATTGAATTTGCACAAAAGGTTTCCCACATCCTCTTCCCTTTGATGTGCCTTCACCACAATCCTCTTGCATTTGATCTTTATTGTAGCCCCTACCACGACCTTTTCCTTGCCATTTTCCCTTCCCAGTGAACTTTTGATTTTCCTTTTCTCGTTTGAGTTTGATTTAGATGGGACATGGGTTGGAAATGCATGATCAACTTGAGGCGAATCAAACTGCTTTATACGTAACTCTTGAGATTGAAAAGTTCCTAGTAGGGTTTCTAAGGAAAGGGTAGATAGATTCTTGGATTCTTCGATTCAAACTTCCTAGTCAAACTCCTCAGAATCTTTTCGACAATACGTTTGTCTTCAATGGTTTCACCGTTAACTCTTATTGGGTTATCAAAATAATCACTCTATTGAAAAATTCTTCAATTTATCCTGAGTCCTTCATTCTGATGTTGTCTAATTCACAGCGTAGCTTTTGTAATGTGATCGTCTTGACTTTTTCTTCTCCATGGTAAGTTTTCTGCAACATATCCCATGCTTGCTTTGAGGTTTGGGATGCAGAAATTCTTTCAAACACAGCTTCATCTATTGCCTGGTGGATGAGAAATAAGGCCCTCTTGTCCTTCTTTTCATTCTCCCTTAGTTCGTTTGTTTGTTGCTGTCTTAAACCGGTGATGTTTGTGGGTTCGTTCAGTCCATTTTCCACCATATTGCACAGATCTTGTGATTCGAAAAGAACCTTCGTCTGGGTATTCCAATGATGATAGTTTCGATTGGTCAGTTTTGGAATCTGTGGTCGTTGAGAGTTCCCATTGTTTAAGGCCATACTAACGATTTCCTTTTTACCAGTGCAATGTTTCATACATTTCAACCAGTGCAATGTTTCATACATTTCCCACCCAAGCTAACCCTATTAACCATAATTAACTAACTTTCAAATAACTATAACTGTCATATTAATTGCAAGTCTAGATTACTATCTCAACAAAAACTAGCTCCATCCTAGGTTCTTTATTAGTAAGATCCGGAAACCATCCATTAGGAAATAAGGTTTTTATCGTCCGTTCATTGATGCACCCCGGATACTTTACCCAACATGCTATTAGTCGGATTTGAACTTTTGACATCTAGGTTATAATGAGAAAGTCTTAACTGCTGCAACAAGACCAGCTGGGCACTGCAGTTTACGGGGTTGAGAACATTTTTTTGGTTTTTCCCAAATAATTAAACTCTATGCACATAGAGGGAAATAAATAAGCATAAATTGTAATCTTTCTGGAATTTTTATATGAGTATCTCCGATCATAGATTAAATGTTCTGCTGCTATTCATTTGCTAGTGGAAATTGAAAAACTACCCAGAACATCAACCTTCTAACACCAAACTGAAAGATGCAATAATGAAGATAACCAATTGACTGTGACTAAAGCAAAACCTAGACTTACAAACAAATATGAAAATGAGAGTATTCCTAATTAGATCTCTGGACTGAACTACCTGTGGTTGAAAGATTTACGACATTAGAATTTGAGTTGAATATTTATTACAAATTGAGTCGAAAGAAATTAAGGAAAACAAAAAGAAAGGAGGAGAGAGAGGGAGATTCTGCCATGAAATGAAAACTCAGGTTGAAAACTCAAGAGAAATTCCTTTTGAAGTTTTGTACAATTTTCATGAAGAAATGGAATCGTATAGAAAGCTAGAAAAGGCTAAGAAACTCGTGATGAAAACTAAAGAGAAAAATGGGGATGCATTTATATAGAAATGGTGAGAGAGGATAAGAAAGAAAAATCTTCTTTTCATGGCTTTCCACTTGCAGATCTAACAAACAAAACTAGCAATCAGTTCCATAAACGCCAAGACATTCACGAAAACAGCAAACCAGATAAACAAATTCACTTTTTCCTACCACTTGAAATCCCTTGCCGTCCGACTTGCTTCAATTCCTTAGATCTAAGAAAAGGCAGATTCGAACCATAAAATGTGATTCCATTTCAAATGCATCAATACATACAGATACAAGTGTGTGTGTGTGCGTGTGTGTGTACATATAATATTACCTTGAGCTGCTACAAAACTCATAGAGTTTTCCCCTATTGGAGAAGATGATCAAAGCAACCTCAGCATCACAGAGAACTGAGAGCTCGTAAGCTTTCTTCAAAAGTCCATTCCTACGCTTGGCGAAAGTGACTTGCCTGTTGATTTTGTTCTCTATCCTCTTCAATTCTACCCTACCTCTCCCCATTCTCACAGTTTCACTTGAATCTATCAGAGAAAAAACACACTTACAAGATCTACCCACAGGTAATTAACACAATCTCTAGATCTCCTTTCTAGCTTTCAATTCCCTACCTAGCTTCTATCACTCCTTATACACGCTTTCTTTTGCACATACAGTTATACACAAATATAGATACAGTTATTATCAACACTTGTATATAATATATATATATATATATATATATATTTAATGGAAGTTTGTGTGAATTTTACCATCCAAATCTAACCAACCATTCTACTTAATTTTAACTTTTTTAATTTAAACACAAATGTTTTAGTTTTTCAAGTACCACCCTCCGTTTCTTTTTTTGTGGTTTTTACATGTAAAAATGGCTGAAGCCGAATAAAAACGTTTTGGGTTTTTATCTTAAACCCAATTCGAAATGACACTGGTCGGTTTGAAACCTATACTATGTTGTTGCAAAATCCCGACCTTCAATTCTGGTAAAATTTAGAATTGAACTAAACGGTCTTTAATCTAGTGGTATCCGGGTCTTTGGCTCCTGGAAATGAAGTCACGGGTTCAAACCCGATAGGTGATGAGGGTGTTTGAGTTTATTTGTTGTATTTACTGTATGTAAATATTATATACTTCATTAATAGGGGGAGCTTATTTTAATAACCCTTTAAATCGTGAGATATTTGAGAACTATTGCATCATTTGCAATTTTATATATTAATGTTTTTTATCTATGACTAGAATTTAATGTAACGATTTTTGTTTCACATGTATTCGGTTCATAATATGAATTTTTTTAACGTGTTTGTGATATACACGCAAAAAAAATTCACATTGTGAAACGAATATACATAAAACAAACACAATATATAACAAATATATGTTAATTAAATACATTAAATATTATACTTGGATACAAAAATCATATGTGAAACAAAATCTTAAGGTAGAAGTTCTTGCAGATCTCACAAATTTTGAAGTCTTCAAATGATTAAGCATCATTCATAATATATACACACACGCAGCGGCAGAAGTTGAAACGAGAATAAGATCAAAATAAGAAAACACGAGAACGGACAAATCACATGTGATTTTCCACTGAAATCACATGCGATTGCAAAACACAGTCGAAATCACTTGCCCTAAAGGTGTGTGGACGACTTGTCCCATGACCTAGTTCAGTGCCAAGGTCGTGCAAATTACATTTAAGTTTACGTAACTTTAATATAAAATCATATGTGATTTGTTATTTTCGGTGTTTTTTTATTTAGTTATTGTACTCCTTTAAATCCGGCCGGCCTTGTATATGTATATATAAAAGAAGAACAAATTTTATAATTGGTCACAATCTTTTTTTGCAGCTAAAATTATATATATATATATATATATATATATAAAATTAATGATTTTATAATTAGAGAAATAATTGGGAACGATGGTACCTCCTTTCAACCAATGAAATTGAACTACTTTTTGATCATCTACTTGAGTGGTACAACCAGAAAAGACATTAATTTTGTTTTATATGAAATTGAATAGCTTCAGGTTTATAAATATTTTGAGAAACATGAAATCATGTAGTTTATGTATTATTCATGATAAATAATTATAATTTTATTTATTATAAATATTTATCAAGACATTTTATCATAGAATAAGTGATTTTTTAGTTCTAAAAATATTTATGGTTCTTAGTTGAACTTGACTCTATTTTTTGAATTTGGCAAATGAGTCATTTTGACGTTTTTGGTCGTATAATCATTTAACAGTTATATTTGCATGCCAAATTTCATATTTGAACACCGATTGCAACCCACATATGAAGTAATTAATGGTTTTATTTTATTTTTTCTTCTTTTTATATTAATTAATAAATATGTTATTTATCTTTACAATATTATAAAACATGAGAAAGATTCGAATGAGAACCACAAATATATTAAAAATTGGGAACCAATCATCTAATCCTAGCCGTTCAAGACATTAGGCCAAAGGCTAGTGTATATAGTGACAATTTTGTAATTAATATGAATAGTTAACAGATATAAGTTGAGGGTAATTTGGAATTAAATTATAATTATTAATTTGCAAAACCCTGTTCTTATTTTTTTAAAGGAATATATCGTTTTTAAAACCGATTTATCCTAAATATAATTAATATTTTTATTTAAACAAGTTATAGAAAAAATAACAATTTATTATCTTTAATTTATTTTATTATCTTATATTTCTAAAACGTGATCTATTATATTTTCGTAATATTTGTATGTATCGATGAATATACACCATTTGGATGATATATAGTAATGAAATTTCATAAAATGTATATTTGTTTTTGAATATATAATATATTCATCAATGAACGTGCACTTTATAGTTCATTAATCTTGGAATTTCATATTTTTTATAGTCATATATTGTATATTCATCAATGAATTATGAATATATACTCTTTCATATCAATTGAATAAACATATGTGGTTGTTTCGAAGATATGACAGCCATTTGGGTTTCATACACATAAACGTGGGTCTGGTTTTAAACGCATTGGGTCTAGGGCTTTACCACATAAACACACATCAGGTTTGGGTGTTTACACATATAAGCACATGTTAGGTATCAGGTTTTACACATACATACACACAATGTGTCTACTGATTTTCACACAAAACACACATTTGGAAGACAAATGTGATGGGTATAGGTTTTGCACACACACAACACATAGTAGAAAGTTTTCTGGCATGTATGGAGAAGGAAGGTCATCAACTTTTCGGCAGAGAAATATCCAGCTAATACTAAAATCACCAACCAGTTATGAGTCACGTACTTATGTCGTCATGCTACTAAATTTGATGTTTGAGGCGACAGAGCTTTACATGGAATACTGAATATTTTAAAAATATAAATCATATTGTAATTTTTAAAATAATTTTTTTTATCGAAAATAAATACAAACTTTTTCAAAAAAAAAATTTAATTTTTAATTTTGAATGAATGAATATTAGAAGAGAAGACAAGGGGTACATGTGCGTGATTGGTGGATTTTTAAGAAGGATAAGACCGTGGAAGAACAAATGGTAATGTAGGGGGAGCAGCAATCTTCTTTGTTGGGATAGGATAAGACCTCCTACCATAACACCCATCCGACGGTCCACATGTCACACCAGCTAACCTTAAAATACACATCAGATTATTGGCTGCTTACTGGCACGTGTCGTCATATAACTCGATTCCTCCATATTGATTCTTTTCAAATATATATATTATTTTATTCGTTAAATCATAAAAATATTTATGTCTCATTTTAATTCATATATTGTAATAAATATAGGAATTTTTATCTTGAGATATTAATTTATATGATTTTTTTAATCTAAAACTAACAAACGTATATTTGTTTCATAATGTGTTTCATGTAATTTTATATGTAATTGTTTCACAAACAAGCTAAAAAGACTAACATAGTGAAACAAATACATGTAAACAAACACATTGTGAAATAAATATATATTAACAGATATTCTAAATCCTAGTCTTAGATAAATTTTTTTATGAAATAACACATTATGCATTAGTACATTACATTCAACTATTTTTCCTCAATTTGCATATATTCTCACATTTATTGAACATATATATAGATATGAAGAAGAGATGAAAATATGTGTATAAGATTTTAAAACAATAAATGAAAGGATATCAGGTTCATCGAGTTGAATTGGGTTAAAACGTAACTCAATTCCAACTCAATACATATGGTTTGAAGATTTTACAACTCGATTAGACATCGGGTTGCTGCAGAATGAGTTATTTCATGTTGGATTGAGTTTGATTAGTCGGGTTGGTCGGGTTTTTGAGCAGCCCTAACCACCAATCATGTGTTGAAATCTTATGTGAACCGCTAAATTTTAATATATCAATTAATCATGCAAATTTATGATAACCATATATTCGATCCCATCTTCAAGGTTTAATTTGAGGGCTAAAAGAGACGCTTCATGGCTTGAATAGTCGCGGAGGACTCATTTTTATAAGATTTACCTTCAGCTTTTTGTTGCTTCGACTTAAATCAACGTTGAACGACAATGTTGTACATGTTTGGTTCCCTTTCATTCTTATCTCATTTTCGCAATACATAGTTGGTCTTTACTTGTTGTACACAGTTGATTTTTTATGATAAACGTAGAACAATTTAAGTAGTTGACTTCAAATAAACTAATTATATTTTTCCAGTTTTGATTTTAAACTTTAAATACTTTAAAAGCGAAACACCATATACAGTATTATGCAAGGTCATTAGATTATTACGATCGTTAATCATTATTTAAGGACATTAGGTATATATCATGATTGTGATTTGTGAATATGTTTGCTTTCCATCTTTTCATAATGTTATGCAACATCATTAGATTGTGAGTTTGATGCTACATTTTAATAATGACAAAACTGTAAAAAAAAAATGTAAAAACCTTTATATATTACATGTACTTTCACCTTCATCAACTTGCAGTGACGGATCCAAGATTTTTACCTAGTGGGGGAACTTTTAGGGTAGATTAAAGGCCAGCAAAGTTGTCCAGTATGTTTTTAGCCCAATTTCATCGTTTCAAGGGACTTTTAAAGTTTTTTGTTGATTTCAAGAGACTTCTTCTGTTTTTTGTTGTTGATTTTAAGATACTTTTTTGGTTTTTTTTGGTTGATTTCAAAGTAATTTTTTTGTTGGTGAGGATGCAGGCCGAAAATTACAGGGGGGACCGGTAGAAAGTTAAAGAAAAAATTGTTTTTAACCTAAGTAATTAAGAATTCTTTTTTTAATGTGGGCCCATGTCCCCTACCATTTGTATGCTACATCTGCCCTGTCAACTTGCATCCACATGCATTCACGTAAATCTCTTTACTTTCATTACCTTCTTATATTATCATGTCTGAAATTTTAACAAATTAATGAATGTGACCGAATGTATATGAAAGTTTATGGGTGAATGTAAATGCAGATGAAGGTGAAGGTGGATGAAAGTGCATATTTCTTGTGAGCGATCAGATAGAAGTAGACAAATGTTCATGATTTTATGAAGGCGTTGTGTGTGACTGTGCGAGTATGATTTAGTTTATTATAACAACATATATTTCGAAAAGATACTGCATAGTTAATCATATGTAGGGACCTATCAGAATACGACACATTTGTTTTTATCATGAATTTGCACATTATATGTCTTCTTTTTGTCACTCTTCAAATAAAAATCAATAATTTAACCTAACGTATTCAAATCATAAATAAATATCTTTGTTGGTTCCTAGAACGAAAGAACTATGAATAGTAGATCGTCTTGTTTCCTTTCTTGACCAGCATTCATAATATATTGAGTGTCGTTGAGCAAGTGATCAACGGTGTTCCTAGAAAACGTAGTTGTTAGCTAGAGCACCCATTCTAGCCTTAGAATAGTTTTACACGAACCCCGAGTTTAAAGTGTACATGTCAGTTCAACTCTATACTTAGTAAATCTCATAGAGTTCTTCAAGAGGTATACCTCGTTATTGTTAGGGTCTCTTGCTTTGCGAGTAGGGTAGTAGGCTCATATCAGTTATCAGGAAACGGGTTTAAATGTAATTTAGATCAACGTTCTAGGTTTGTGCTCAACGTCGTTTGATTATGTATCTTACAAGCTCTTTTAGAGAGCATAATCCAGTGACGTTCTACATTAACAGTTTTCAAGACAGATTGAGCTCCAGTTTTATAATTAAGCAAAATGCCAAAGTACGATATGATCCCTGTTCACAAATTGATCTTGATTTCTCAACCATTTCATATACTTTTGTAATTTAAAACAAGTTATATTCTATGTATGAAGCTGAGTTGTCGATGTGTTTTATATAATAATTAGACAGTAAACATGAACACAACCGTCGTAACTGTGTTTGATGCTTTTTAGTAACATTCAAAAGTTCAAAATCTTGCATCCATCCAAAAGTATATTGAATGGTTGTTTATAACAAAATTAATGGGCATATAAATCATCAAAATGGATAGTATTAAGGTGGCAAAAGGAATAAAATGAGAACTTTGGTTGGAATCTATTTGATGCAATCAACTTTAAAATTAAATTAACCAAAAATGGCTCAATTTTTTTTCTCATTTTGGTTTAACATACTTGATATCTAGGCATTGGATGTAAATCTATCGATGTGAAACAAAACCAGACTGTAACGGTTGTGTTATTTAGACAAAAAGATGATTACCGACAATCTTAATCGGCTCCATACGAAACCTGCCTTCATTGACATCAATGTGAGAGGACATTTAATAGCTTACTTAACAGTTGAGGCTAGCAGGAAGAATTCAAGACTTGTTTTCTATGTGGACAAAGTCGTTAGTCGTCCCACCTTTTGCCAACTGAACTACACAACAGAGGTAGAAGCATAGTTGTGTTATTATTTCAAGATTCTTTTCAAAATTTAGTCTTAGTATAAAATTGAAACCTAACCGGCTTTCCCCCTTCAAACTATAGAGTTTAGCTTATATTTTCATATTATTCCCTTCGTCCCAAAATAAATGTCTACATTTCTATGTATTTTTGTACCAAAATAAGTGTCTAATAGATGATTAAATTCTTAAATTTGCCCTAATTTAATACACAAATATTTAAGAATTGTGAGAAGGGATAAATTAATTAAGAATAAATCTGTCATTTGATTAACCGTATGTCATTTTTATCGTAGACACTTATTTTAAGAACATTTGATTCATATAATGAGTTGTTTGTTTACTTCTTAATAGCCCCATTAAGAGGCATTATTTGAATTGTTAAGAGGTGAATCTTGTTTGACAAAAAAAAATCTAACATTATGAATGTTTTTGTATCATAGGTCTCCCTTAACCATTCAACGCTCTAATTTCGTTGTAAATAATTACCAAATAATTGTATTTCATTTTACACTATATCATGAGAGACTCTTAATTATTCTGACCATTTAATCATTATGTACTAAATCATTCAGCAACTGTCAAACTATACCATAATCTGATAAATAAATGAAACTGTTGTTAAATACATAAATAGTTATTATCAAAAATTATAAATTAACTATCAATATCTTGTAATATTTTTAATCGATAAAAACTAAAATTGTAGTCAAATAATATTATAATTATTTTTAAAACAATTATAAAACTATCAAAAAAAGTCATCATCCTAATAATAATAAAATTAAGATACATGAAATTTGTGATAATTAAATTATTCTAAATATTTTATTTTGGTTATGAAGAAATTAATTATAAATGGATGGAAAAAGGCGAGAAATTGAAAGGCAATGGGGACCATGGCATGGAGTAAATATGGGTCAGATATTTAGCCAAAAACGAGGAAACATCAGCGTCGCCCGGATTAGAAAGTGGACCCACTTTCTATTTTAAGAAACCATACTTATCTCAATAATGCCTCTCACTCTCAACCCCACTACCCCTCTTTTATGTGCTTTTATTATCTTCTATATTTTTTATTTTTTTTACAAATTTATTTAAATTATATTATTAAATGACTGGTATACGTTAATAAAATGACCATTTTTTTACGTATCTGTCAAAATGACTGTTGTTTTTGATGCAGTATTTTGTTAATGTGATGAACACTGGTTCTTGTCATACATGGTTCCACATAAAAGAAAGGTCAACGTACATTTAGCCAATCTTTAATGCGTTTCGTCAAAATAGGGTTTTTGGTGAATTCCTAGAGCAAAATAGGTGAACCGGATTTGGTCCCACTTTGTAAATATTTAGCCAGAAACCCTGTAAAATTGGCTAAAGGAATCTTACTGTTATGACACGTGGACATTTATTGTGCTCTCTGGTTATGTTTCACAAGGCGAGAATCTTGCAGACTCTAACTTCAGGTAGGATATACTGGTTTCGTTTAGAAGTCGGTTGGTATTGAAATACCAAAATATGCTTATGAAGATGATTTTATTACGATTGTAATACTTGTACAAATATATGACAACTATGAATGGATGTTAATATTACGATAGAAGTGAATCATTTTATGGACCCACCAACAACACCAAGTTGCAATTAAAATAATCATGGATGAGGCCCAAGTGTTTTAGATTTTATGGCCCAACATGAATGTGCTATTCTAATCATACTTTTTCCGAAATATTTTTTTAATGGTTTAATCTTTAAGCTATTTTTTTAATCGGATGCTCCTATTACACTCGTAGTCTCTGAAGGATGAGAACCAACTATGTAGCATCTACACCGAGAATTCAAGTATTGTATACGTCATTAGTCTRATCCTTTGTAGGAACTACCCGTAATAACGAACTTGCAAAACGGATCTGTTTATCATAAAGAGATTCGTCGTTCCTGACCCTGCTTCACCTTAATTGTTATTTGAACAAGTAAAAGTTCTGTCTTGGTYCGAGTGGGGATAGCATTTCTCTCCTGCATGTCCATGGAGTTTTGAAAAATCCAAACATCTCAGAGATAGATAGAGAGGTAAGAATTTATCGAATGAACCGCACTCCTTCGTATACGTCAGGAGTGAGCCAGGATCGAACTCTCCATGAGATTCATAGTTGCATTACTTATAGCTTCCTTGTTCATAGACAAAGCTGAATCGGAATTGTCTTTCATTCCAAGGCCTAACTTGTATCCATGCGCTTCATATTCGCCCGGAATTCACTCCCAGAAATATAGCCATCCCTGCCCCCTCACGTTAATCCCACGAGCCTCTTATCCATTCTCATTCAATTAGAGATGGCCAAGTGGGCCCGGCCCGGCCCGGGACCGGGACCGGTAAGGACCGGTTATGGGACCGAAAACCGGGACCGGTTGAGGTTTTTGGTAGTTTCGTGGGACCGGGACCGGTTATGGGACCGACTATGGACCGGCCCGGCCCGGCCCGAAAATTCAATTAATTTTATAAATAAATGTATTTTTAAATAATTTTATAATGTATTTTTATAAGAAAACGTAATTTTAATTATATTAAAACGCATTTTTAAAGTGTATTTGAGTGACCAAATTGTAAATTTTATAATGTATTAAAAATATATATCATTAAAAAAATAAAATAAAAAATCTTATTTTTTTAATGAAGGACCGGTTGGGACCGGGGGACCGGGACCGGGACCGGCGGCCCATAACCGGTTATAAAGTACCTATACCGGTCCTATCATTTTCGACCGGGACCGGGACCGAGACCGGGACCGGTTACCCCGGGACCGGTTATGGCCGGTTATGAGAATGGTGAGGACCGATTGGGACCGGCCCGGGACCGGTTTTTGGCCATCTCTACATTCAATCACGGCGGGGTATTCATTACATGTTTTCAATTTGAATGATCAAGTCTCTGAACTATTTTTTTGAATGAAAAAAAAACATTAAACTTTTACATTTTGAATGATTAAGACCCTGTTTTTTTTAAAGAAAATAAATAAATCATCGAATTTTTACTAGGTAACCAATTTTTAAAAATGCTATAATTTAAAAATGTTCAGAAACTTAATCAATCAAAATGGGAAAGTTTAATATTTTTTTATTTTGAAAATAGTTTAGAGATGATCATTCAAAATGAGAAGGTTTTATAGTTTTTATTTTAAAAATAGTCAAGGGACTTGTTTAAAATGGGATAGTTATATGGGTTTTTTACACTTTTTTGAAATATTTAGGAGTTTGCTTGGTTTGTTTTTAGTATTTAGGAGTTGGTTTCTATGAATAAGATTAGCTATGTTTAAAAGAGTTTTTTATAGATGGAAGAGACAGTTTTCATATTGAAAAGGATAGGTTTGAAAAAAAAAACTTGGCCATCTACGCAAAGCTCCCCTTGAAGTTTATTAAATGACTCATTCTTTATATCATGAAACCATTACCAAACAATCATATATGTATTATACCTAACGGAATAAACCAAGTCTAGTTAAACTCATTAAGCTCCTAACAAACAGGGTCTTAATTGGTAACCAAAATTCAAAACCATACAATTGACGAACAGGAAGGGGGGCATAACATGAGATTCTTATTCAAAAAATCCAATCCAAGATACACAACCAGATTTTGTTCTCCCAGGCTCCAAAGAAAAGGATAAAGAAAATCCAACTAAAAATGTCTTGAAATTGGATTCGATCATAATCTCAGAATTTCTAGTTCAGATTTCGGTAACCGGTAAGTATCCAGCTAACCGTGCCCGACACTAAAACTAACCTCGCTCTACCTGAGGGATGACCCGACCCCCTCAGAGGCTTTTTTTTCTTTTGTTCTTTCTATTAAGTACAAAAATATATGTTCCGGTTTGGAGCAGCGAATAGTAAAAAATGGCAAGTATGCTTCATGTACGGTTCCTCGAGAAGACAGAACTGATACCAGAAAATGTTCGCCCAAAAACCCGAGAACTTGTTCCCTCTTCTGTAATGTTTAAGCCATTTGATGCACCCCTGGGGGTGTTTCTACTTTCACCCACATCTGGGCGGGTCTCTTGAAGAACCTGCAACAAATTCCTAAATGAAAACCTTCATTCTGCAAAATTTCATGACAAAGTAATCCCTCCCGAAAAAAATAAATGTCCACGATGAAAAAATCACAATTTTTTAAAATGTGTAAATGTTACGATTTCTAATTAATAAAATGACAATTTTACACTCAATAGAGGGAGTAATGAATTTATTTATCTCATAACTAAAGGTAGAATTGGAAAGTAAACATTTATTTTTGAAAGCAGACATTTATTTCGTGATATACAAAAACCTAGTAATGTGGACACTTGTTTTAAGACAGAGGGAGTACAAACCTTCAAGCCTGATGCAGCAGAGACAGCACTTTCCAAAGGTCGCTTAGCCTGAAAGACAGGTTGCAGAATACAACCGAGTTAGAGAAACTCAGCCCTTCCAACCGTATACACAAAAATATAGAACACAACTACCACTTTGAAGGCCATAAAGGAAAAACTCGCTTTTCATGCTTAACAATCAGTTGACCCAAATATTTCTACTCAATAGACCCTCTTAGTAATAAGCAAATATTGAAGTGGCATACAACCTAACAAAATTCTCACACTGAACTGGATAAGAGAACATACCTTGGGAGACACTGGGGGGGATAATTGTATTTCCTCTATTTGAACTGGTGGCAAAGACATAGTCTGCAAAGATGTAAAAAGAATAAGATAAGCAAGAAAATATACATTAAAGGGTCATTAACCAAGCAGTACCCAGTCTACGGGTAGAGCCCAGCCTCCCAGAAGATCATGGATTCATACCTCCCCAAAGATGAGTGGGCGTGAGTATATGCTGTATATAAATATCATATACTTCATATATGTACACACACACACATATATAGCTACATCTTACATATGCAGTGAACTGGAACCAAGTAGACAAATAGAACATGTGATAGAAGTTTACCCTTTGTGGCAATTCAAGAGCTGGCCTTGATGAACTGGATGGGTTTCCCTACAAAGGACAAGAAATTGATTAACATGAAATGGTAATAAATTTCTCATTAAGCTGGAACAAATAGTCCATCTTGAGACAATTCTGTCCGTTCCTACCAGCCCAATTACAGAACAAGACAACGAACAAATAAAAATTATTTTGAATAATGTGTACGGAAGGTTGGAAGAAAGGACTGTCCATATTTTAAGAGTGAAACAATAAGATGCATGTGCAATAGAAGGTAAACATTATTATATCACCATGCCAAGCACCAACTGAATATGCCAATAAATGGCCGGATGCAAAAGAGTGACAGATCCAGGAATGAATGAGCTAAAAGACTTATGGCAATACCTGTCTCAAAATGAGTGAGCCTTTTGCTTGGAAAAAGAAAATTATAACATTTTTTAGTGGCACTTATTCGATTACGAAAATCTGATTATTATGAGAAATTCTGAACTGCAGATTTTTAGTTTGCTTTTTGTGGAAGGTATGGAAACAAAAAACTGCCAAAACAGAATTCACATGATGCTTAAAAAAACAAGCTCATATTCTAGAAGAAACCAAAAAGGGACTATGCTCATTTATACAGGACAGAACCAAAACTTTAAGGGCTCAAGTATAGAAAGAAGGGAAGCAGTAATATAGCCAATCATTCAACTCAACCTTTCACATAGAAACTAATCACAAAAGATGGTATAAAAAGCCTTTTTTTAAGATACTCTTTACATATACAATATCAATTTTACCCCTATAGTAGAAATTCACCATCAAAAAGGCCCCCCCCCCCCCCAATGTAGAAATTCACCATCAAAAGCGCCCCAACAGGGCCCACCAGTCACAAGCCTAATCCAACCTTGGATGCAGATTAAAAGCTTAGAGAAAGTAATACAATAGTAAATTTTGCTAGTGGCTTGTCCCAAGTAACTGATATTTGAGGGTAGTAGTTTTCTCCAATTTGAACATGTAGACCCTATAATAGTTGCTAGGGGATTGAATCCTGTGGATATATTGTCCATTATAGAAAGTAATTCGCAATTCCTAATACTAGGAGGATATTATATTTACCTGGATGCGGTCCATAGATGCCTGTTGCTCCATTGTTAAGGCAGTACGTAGCAACTTTGCCACTCCTAAGTTTGTATTATCCTGCAGATATGTCAATAAAGCAGTTTGAGAAGGGCACAATAACTTTAATCTCACTTTGGTACATTTATGCTACAAGAATCAGTACCTGCTTCCCTTCAATCCTACTCAGCTTACTCTCCTGTAAAAAAGAAATTGTTAGCATGTATCCAAGTTCTCTATGAAACACCTTACAAGGACAGAAAAGAACATCTGAAACTGCAGAAGTTAATGGATATGAACCAAACCAGGGAGTAAACTGCATTATGTACAGATTGTACATCCAAAGCAATCAATTTTGTATCTCCTCGTAACGCAGAAACCTATGCATTTTAACAAAGTATTACATAAATCAACATAACGTTTAACAGGATAAGCACAAAGAAACTAGCCAACCTTTACATAGCCGTACCTCCTCTTTTGTAGAAGCAGCAATTTCTGCACACTCATCTAAACTACAATCAACACGATCAATTCTTGAAGATAGATGCCGCTTGGTAGCCTAAACAACATAGGGAAAACATTAACTAAGCCAAAATTGACCTGGCATGAAACCAATCCATCTTTTTTGTAGCTATAAAATATCAACAATCCTCAAAAAGTACCAAGCTGATTATCAATGTATACGAAGTCTTGCTTAAAGAATATTAACCGACAATCTATTGAATATTTATAGACAAGAATTGGGATATAAACCCCAGACAGAAAGCAGTAGTATAAGGACAGTTCTGGTGACTTGCCGCAAGAGAAGAGTAGACATTGTCAAGCTGTTTAGCTACAGCATTTGTTGCATCAGATAAACCACGCTTTGTAGCAAACATCATATCAGGAAGTTTCCAACCCTGAAAACAAGGACACAATGTAATTTCTAGAAAAGATTGTGTATAAGTTAGGTGCACAAAAAGATAATATGAGCAGATCATGTTTGGACATAATGGCATAAAACTTGTAGGACATAACATTGGGGATCCTGCAGGATTGAAACTGACAGTCATTAATAAGTTTAAGTTGGCAACTACAACAAACACAGAGACATTTTTTATCAAACAAGCAAGCACTTTTATACATTCATACGCTGCTTCTGGGTTATTGCAGGCAATATTTACGATCCACTTACTGCAATCACTACATTTTTGGGCAAGGCAAAGTGTTTCCCTTCTTTCCTATCAGTAATACAAGAGTTGGTGCTCTCCATACATGAAGTTTGAGTCGCACACAATGGTTCTCATCAAGTAGCAACATCTTCATAACCCAATGGCAAAGCAAAAGGCACTAGCATAAATAGCTCAATGAAGACAATTGCACCATCAGGCGCTCTGTTTGAAACAATCCTAAAACTCAAAATTCCTAGAAAATCCAAAAAGAACATTTTGACTCCAAAAAACGTCAGATGGTTTAACAAATTATTGAATATTGACAATACCAAAGTTTTTGCCTGTTTGTACATGCAACTAGAACAACTCCTGAGACAAATGACCTGGGCATAAACAGGAACAAGAAGCAAAATGAAAAGTTAGCATGAACTTAATATTACCTTCCACCAAACATAGCCATATCCTACGACGACAACAATGATAATGACACCGTATTTGCCAGTAGCACCTGCATGAGAGCAGAACATATTAAGTATTAGGGAGTGGAAGTAGTACAAATGAGAAGGATCTAAAAAAATCAAGTAAAATACAAATCCTTTCATTGAACCAAAAAAATATCATAGGAAAATCCCATAGCAAACTGATGAACCTATCGTTCAAACTTCCTTGCCTACATGTGAGTATTAAAATTCATTGAATGATCATGTCTGCATACAGGTGCTGCATGAGATGAAGCATATGAACAAAACCAGGCTCATATTGGTCTAACCCAGGCATGACACGACATTCTAAAACGAACCATCAGCAAACCAGCCATGATTATGCACTTAAATTTCTAACTTCCACCGAACATTTTGCTACATGTGCCAAGACTTTATTGTTCATTTAGGTACTATATTTAGAATGCATGCAGCCAGTGGTAGCAACAGTATCAGATCAAGCACTGAACAATAGACTCAGATAGATAGTCACCGTATGTAATATCTGATGAATCCTAAATCAAAAACCAATCAAATATATGCACCAATATCAAGAATTTAACAAACCTGCTGAACCATTAGAAGTCACAATGGTAACAGGTCTATTTGATGCCAGGAGTTGCAGCTCTTGCCTTAAGCTGTTGACCTGTTTAAAGCAAATATAAGAAAACAAACCACTAATATGCCAATATACGACTAAAGCAGAATTGAACAAGAAGTCTTCACATAATAAAGTCAACATATCATAGAACTGTCACATCTACAGAGAATTGTCGGAAATGAACAATCTAACCTGTGCCATTAATGAGTCACTGTGTGGTTTTGGATTTGAACTGGGTTTATCATCTGTTTTAATTATTTTAAGTACCTAGAAAGAGAGAAAGCACAACAACATAAATGACAAGATAATAGAAAACTATTATGGTATAGAAACATATGACTATCAAATACTATGGCTCCAGGTAATTAGCTAGCAAATGTTTTGCTCACCTTCGAAGCACCAGAGAAAAAATCATAGACACTGGGCATGCGTCCTTCTTTAGCAAGCACTGACCCAACAAGGCCTACAAATGATAAGATAATGTATTTGGTTATCCCATATGTGCTTTTATCAAGCAAATTAAAAAAATACTAAAGAGTATATAACACTTGTCATATAGCCGTGTTTAATTGGCTAACATATAGTGCTAGAATCAGCCGAGTACTTGGATCAAAGGTATTAGTTTGCAGTGAGATATTCTAGACACCCTGAACTGATGAAGTTTAGCATGATCTAGTTGAATGACTTCAGTGAGAATATTAGATTTAGAGTTTCTGAACTCATTAAAACTCCATAGATAGCCAACCACACTAAGGTGAGAAGAAACATGGTCTTGAAGCTATACTGTTTTTAGTGTACTCAGCTAATAATATCAGTGTATATAGTATTGAAGACCAAAGCTGCAGGCCCAGCAATTAAAACTTAATTCATGTAGCATGGACTATGCTCATAATGTTAGTGCATACAGTATCCACAACTGCCTATCAATCAAACTTGCCTATGTAAGCTACTGAAAGTTTATAAGTTAAATGTGGCTCCCAGTCCCCATTAAAGAAAGGATAGAACACACTAGATTTCTTCACACACTTGTAACTCTCATGATTCATGAAGTTGACCTTCAAAGCTTTCCCGTCTAATTAATGCCTATATTTTAACCTTCAACCTTAATTTACTTTAAGACCGTGACTTTAAGAAGTCAACTAACTCCTGATGGAACTTCAATGAAAAATAACCAAACAAAGTCGGTGCCAAGATCCAACAAGTTGTTATGCAGCATATAGAAGATCAGAATATCAAGCCAGTGCAAGAAACCTCAACACACCCTTGATTTCAACTCAAATTGACATGGCAAAAAGAAAATAAAATACTAAAAAAGTTCAAATATAAGAGTTCATTTAGGCAAGAGGAGTTCAGAAACCGAGTCAATCTCCTCAAGTTTTACCGCTCATAGCATAACACATCCTTGATCTTTTTATAAAAATGGACTGGACTCTGGTTGTGTGCCCTGCTCCAAATGAGGCTGGAACGAAGAGACTTAACGGAAAATAGGAGGAAAAACATAGGTATAATTTATTAAGAACAACCGCATCTAGTGAGGTTTTCTCAAAGTCGTTAGTTATCTCTGGTTGTATGTTTAATGATAGGAACATGGAAGTTGTGTAAAACGGTGTTTTATTAATAATGTAGTAAGTATTGTTCCTCTTGTGCTTTTGGACAAAATTAATGAAAAAGTCTCCTTCTCATCCCCCTGCTCTCTCTCTCTCTCTCTCTCTCTCTCTCCTCATCTTTTCTTTCATAGGACAGCTACAACTTGTTTCACAACCCCGCCATTGAAGATCCAACTATCACTATAGGTTTTATTGGCTGTTCTTTGGAAAAAGCCAACTTACAACACGTGGTTCTAACTTCCGAAGATGGAAGAAACACACAATGAAACCCTAGATGAAGCATTTAGCCAAATAAAAATGAAGCAACAAGGAGGTGAGGATGAAGGCTCTGGATGCTATGGCCTCCTGCATTAAAGCCCAAATGGTGTTCAAGCTGGGAGATCTGCATTAAGGTCCAAATGCTATGGCTCTAGATCCAGGTTTGAAGAACTGTTCTGCATGATGAAAAGTAAATCTCCAGTTCAGCTAGACATGCCTTACTTGGATCCCAAGACACCACTGTAAGACCCTCAGCAGGGTCTCATTCCCTTAAAGTTTTGCTACAAGAACCTCCCCCAATGCTTCGCTGTCCTCTTTTAATGGTGAAGATCCACATGGATGGGTAAAAAGAGCAATATGTGTTGCAACTTCCAGCTGATTCCTCATAACCAGAAGGTAGACTTTGTGAATGCATCTAATCGCATGGTTTAGCAAAGATATCAGTCTTGCATGAAGGACAAACTCATGATGAACTAGGAGGAATTTACAAGGGATGTTGTGACGAAATTCGGGGCTAAGAAGGATGAAAAAAAACTAATTGTTGACTTAAAAAATCTACGACGCCCTTCTAATGCAGAGGACTATGTTGAAGCATTTGAAGCCACAAGAGCATCCCTCTTTGTGGTTGCATCTCAACTCGAAGAAAGATTCCTTGTGCAGACATCCATCGCAAGCCTTAGTGTAGCAAGTAGCAATGAGATTTAGGGTGAAAGAATGGCAGCTCATCAGCACCCTCATCAGAAACATAAGAAAAAAGACACGGTGCTCTCTAGTGACAGAAACAAGAGTAAAATCCACATAGAAACCCAACCTAGTCAAAGTTGTGTACAATCTAAATCCCATCTGTGTTGGCAAGCCAGATCCAGCCACAGTAGAAGAAAAAAAAGTTTAACAACCCCTGCAAGCAGTGTTATCAAAAGGCAGGTTAGGAGAGCACCTGGACCCATAACACATGCAGGGGTGGGGACTCACCTTGGCTGAGGCAATTTCAATGAGGTGAGCAGCTTGGGATTGAGGCACTTAGTCTAGAAATAGAAAAAAAAAAATCTAGGGCACAATAAAGAACACGCATAACAGGTTCTTCTCTCAACAGCAGCTCGGACAAAAGCAACACGAAAGACGCTTCTCTCAAACAAAAGCAACTTGTGTTCTTCTCTGAACAGCAATTCCAATTCTCCTCATGACAGAAGCAAGTAATGATATCAGTACTTGTTAACATGACGTTTTTTGATTTTTTTTCTGATTCTTTCTTAATGTTCATGCTACCTTATCTCCAACAACAGGTTTCTCTTGATCTTTTTCTTAACATAAATCCTTCTGATTCTTCTTAATATTCTTCTCTAACTTATTCTCTTAGTATAACATCAATAAGGGTGTATTTGGTACGTGCACTAACCATGACAGAATTTATTTATGTTCATTCTTGAGCTTACGAGTTTCTGGTACCAAGGATTTTCAATCTTATTAGTGAAGAACTGAAGATATATTCATATTTATATATATATCATATGTAATGTTTTAAAATTCATGCACCTTGTCTTGCTACTAGGCACCAAAGGGATCTTTGCGCATTGGTGCACCTCAAGCCATGGTTTAAAAAAGCGTTCAAGGCATACCGTTGGGTCATTGACCAACATCTTCCTAAATCGAAACGTGGCGCTGCCTGCTACGCTATAAGGAAATAAGTTGCGCCTTCTCCACTAGCAATTGCTTTTGGAGTAGTGGTAAGCGCTTGGATCCTAACATGTGGTATCAGAGCAGGTCACGGGTTCGAATTCCATGAGATGCATAATAATGCCAAAGGCATGTTGTGCAGCCATTGTCTTCTAGCAAAGATCTTGTTAATGTTGGCAGATGCTGGGGGCGAGGGGGGGGGATTGTTGGGTCATTAACCAGCATCTTACTAAATCGAAACGTGGCCTCGACTGCTACGCTATAAGGAAATAAGTTGCGCCTTCTCCACCAATAATTGCTTTTGGCGTAGTGGTAAGCGCTTGGATCCTAACACATACGCCTCGAGGCACACCTTGAGGTGAGGTGCTGAAAAATCAACTCTGAGGCAGCACCTCTCATGGGTTAGTTGAGTCGTACGCGTTGAGCCATTAAGGCTGGCCTTGAGGCGCATGAGCCGGGGGTTATAAATTAGGTTTTAGAAATTGACTTGTTGATTTTACTTTTTATAAAATAAACTCATTTTCTTGTTCGTCGTCTCCTAGTTTTCATTTGTAATGTCCAACGTCTTCGCTAGTCTCCCAAATTGAAAAACTATCACGCATATATATATTTTATTTCCCACTTCTCCAATTTCTCATTTTGAAGAATATATGGTAGACATATGTATATGTGTTTGTGTGTGTATATATATATATATATTATTTTTTTCTCCGGTCTCCCACTTTGTATATATTTAGTGTGTGTGTATATATATATCCGCCTCAGGGCTTGCACCTCCGACCGCCTTGAGAGAAAACGCCTCGAGATCCGATTCCGCTTTTCAAAAACCTTGCTTCGAGCCTTAAGTACCCACATCTAGGAAGTACCAGCACCAGGCACACCTAAGACCACAACAATTACACCATCCCAGATTGACTGAGGGGCAAAGTGGGATTATGTTGTTTTTGTGAGGATAGATACTCCTAGGACATGTATGCTTTGAACCTAAGCTTTAAACTATGGCAGTGATGACAATGACGAGAAGGTGACAATTGAGTGGGCCAAGAGTGAATGCATAAACCCTGATGTAGAATGCAGAAAAGGGAGAGGGATCTCTACATGACATGTCAGGCAGGGTAGGATACAACATTCTCAGTAGAAGGTATAAAATAAGGCTTCGATAATTTTGCATACAGCGATTTCACCCATAACTTTCTGGATGTTCTCAAGGCTAATATCATGACTGTAAAGTGGAGGCATCAAGGCCCATGGTAGTTCCCACTGCTAATGGTAATGGGGAAGTATTGTTGAGCACGCAAGTACGTAAGACCATCACACGTAAGATACAAGGTAAGAAAATTTGCACTGAGGTTGGAATGATGTATTTGACTGGTAGTGACATGGTTCTTGGAATTCAATGGTCAGAAACTTCAGGGTCCATACACATGCATTTCAAGAAGAGACAGTTAACCATCTTGACCCCAATGAGCAGGCAAAAAGGAAAGTAAGTAAAAAGGTTGGTGTAAGTTCGATTTATATCAGCCGCTGCCTTCCAAGATACATGAAGAGCTGTCGTGACCTGCAAGTAGTCAAGCTTCTAATAGTTCAAAGCGTGGAACTAGCCACTCCCAAGGAAGGTGCTCTTCACATATTACTAGAGCATTATAGAGCTGTGTTTCAAGAGCCCAAAGGGATCCCCCACACGCGTTCATAGCCAGGGCCCAGGAGTGGAGCCAATTGACATTGATTCATAACATTCACATGTTATTCAACTCCAATTTCGATCAAAAACCCAAACCAATCTCAAACCCTAACAGCGATTATTCAAATAAAAACTGCAACATAACCCAATTCTATAGTTTTCCCCAACACAACTACGTTCGGTACTCGCATAAACTAAAAGAAACCATATATTAAATCTCCATCAATTAATAAGTAGTAACGTTTTAACTGATTAAACGTGCAAATATACAACTAACCGAATACTGGAAGAAGAATAAAAAAACGTCAGAAGAAGCCGTTAGGTTAAACAAGATGACAATCAAGAAATCATACCAGCTCCAATGATTATCGTCAACTTCCCAAGAGGAAGAGCCATGGTCGGATCGATCAAGTAAATGGTATTATGCAAAAATAATGGGCATCTACGTTTGCTGATAATAAATTAAGATGGTTTGGAGAAGAAGAAGAGTTCAGTCTGATTTCTTTGTCGTCTTTTTTCTCTTATTCTGTTAATAAATTGACCCTCTCAGCCGAAACCAAACCCTAGTTCATGATAATCTCGAAGGGTTATTTGATCCCCTAACTGCTCGGACAATTCCAGTAATCCTTCCCTGCTTAGACTCTTAACAATTATTTGGTTCTATTTTCCCCTTTTCTTTATGATAGTAATCCAAGAAAATCAACCCTCTACTAGTCTATCTCTTGGTGCGCAAGCCCAACACCACCACCCTCACGGGCTCCAATCCAACCCATCTGCAACTGCAATAGATATGTTTTTTTTTCTTTTTTTAAGTTTATATTTTCTTTTATATCTACTAGAATGGTACCCGTGCAACGCAGCGATATACATCTTGATTTTATTGTTTCGTTTTATATTTTGTGTCTATCAATGTTATAATGCGACTTTATATGGTTTTGAGAAAAAAAATGTTTTTATTTTTTAATGAAATATAAATTTGAATATATTATAAAATTAAAAAAAAACAATATTAATATCAAATTAATTATTTAAAAGTTCGTTTTTATGTAATTTCTTTAATTCAATTTTATTTTATTATAATTTAACGGAAGTTTAAAAATAAACTAATTTATTTTTGGTTTAATAAAATAATTTATTTAAGATAATAATTGAGTATTTTGTTAGAACTCAGTGATTATCTTAATTATGTTTTGGATTTTTATATTTAAAATGATATGTTTATCCTCTATTTGATTATGTTTATCTGCAGTTAGTTACACGAATTTAAACATGGAGTTTTAATAAGTTGTACTTATGCATAATTTACTTGTAATCTTGAATTTTAAGTAATATTTTATTCTTTGTCTCTGTCGATGTTATAATACAATTTTATGTGTTTTTAAAAAAACAATAATGATTTTATTTTTGAATAAAATATAAATTTGAAAAAAAAAATTATATCAATGTTAATATCAAATCAACTATTTAAGAGTTCTCATTTTTTATATGATTTCTTTAATTTATTTTTTATTATAATTTAATTTATGCTTAATAATGAAATAATTTATTTTTGATTTAATAATCTAACATTTTCTAAAGATAATAATTAAGTATTCTGTTAGAGCTCAATGATTATCCTAATTATATTTTAGATTTTTTATATTTAAAATGAGATGTTTATCTTGTATTTGATTATGTTCATCTGCAGTTAGTTACACGAATTCAGATATGAAGCTTTAATAAGTTGTACTTACGCACAATCTACTTGTAATTTTGAGTTTTAAGTAATATGTATTAATAAACAGTACTTTACGCATAAAAAATGGTTTTTAAGAGTTTTTGTCAAATGCTTTATAAAAATGGTTTTTTAAGGGTTTTTGTCAAACCCTACCCGAACCCTATATTCTTATATATTGCTCAATATCAGGGTCGGGTTCTATTTATTTTCGGATATCCAAAATACGTGGCATTTTCGGTTCGGGTTCTGTCGGGTTAATCAGGTTTGCACACCCCTAGTTGAAAAGTCATAAATAAACACAAAATATTTTTCATTCATGAAATTGATTATGTCAATAAAAAACTGGAATTTTATACATTCTTTAATTTATTTTTATTAAACAAAATAATGTTTCGAAGAGAGATCTTTTGGTTAAAAGGATGTACTCCCGTGTGAATCTTTTATTTCAGACAAAAAACAATAATTACAAAAGAAAAATAACATCCTTGTGCGAAATACATGTCTTCCAAAAGTTTCGATATGCAAAATTTTCAGTTAATAATTTTATCAAACAAAAAAAACATCGAACTCATCATTGATAAAAAAAAAATAACAAATCTCAATCCATGATGCAACTCAAAACACAAAATCAATAAGATTTTTTTTTTCAAAGTTCATAAAATGAAACAAACTTAGGGGTTGTTTACCAAAAACTTTCCCGGTAAACTCTTAGGGTGCGTTTGGTTTGCGGGATTGGAATGGAATTGGGGGGATTTGGATTTGAAATCCATTCCAATCATGTGTTTGGTTTGTAGGAATGGTAGGATTTCAAATCCAATGATTCATTTAAAATCCCGTGAACTATGGATTTCAAAATCCTTTGAAAATACATGGGATTTTAAAATCCCATCCCCGTGGGATTTCATCTTCTCGTCTCCATCTTCTCCCACAGCTTATCGTTCCTCCATTGATTGCTCACCATCGTCGATCTCGTCTCCATCTTCTCCCACAGCTTACATCGCTCCTCCATCGATTGCTCACCGTCGTCGATCATCGTCTCCGTCGGTGGTTGTCGCTCACCGTCTCCGTCGCCTTCTCCCATCACTCAACAGGTTTTTCCCCTTTTCCCCTTTTCCCCTTTTCGATTTCTGTCTAAACTTTGAACACAGATTAGGTAAAATCCTTCACTTKTGACAGATTAGGTYGAAAATTCTAGTGTAATGGTGGTGATAACTTTGCCATACATACAGTTCGATGATTGCGTAATACTTTAGTTGTCTTCACTATATACCCTAGTTCACCCTTCAATGAAGATCTGTTTCTTGGTGTGCTTATGGATGATGCTTATCCAAATCCAAATCCTGCAAACCAAACACAGGAATGGATTTTAAATCCTAGGAATCCAAATCCCATGGAATCCAAATCCTTCATGGGAATCCAAATCCCTCATAAACATTCCTGCAAACCAAACGCACCCTTAGGATAAAGTTCAACGCTATCACTTACTTATCGGATTTTAGTCAACAAAGACAACATTGTATGCACTATTTACCTGGTAAACACTAAACGTGGTAAGAGTTGTCTCCCTCACTTATTGGATAAGACTTTTGGTCTTTGTCTTCCTCTTACTTGGTAAGATTCTTAGTTTTTACCATATTCATATGGTAAGATAATGTGACTTGATATGCGTTTACACGGGTAAGGGACACCTTAGTTCATGATTCACCGTAAGGAAAAAAGTTCAATTTGTATTTTATCAAACAAATAACTCAATTCTTGAAATTTGATAAAAAGAAGTATACAAATTCTAGAATAAATAATACATTTGTTCTTATAAATGTTATTGAAGTAATAACAGTCAAGGATAAAGGTTTTTCATTACAACTTGAAACTTGTTTTCAAGTAGGAACTCGATTTGGTTATAGTGCTACCATATATAACATATACGTATTTAATCCAAACACACACACATACACACATATTTTGTACAACATCCTGCTATTTTTTTAAGTAAACAAAAGTTACATCATATGAAAGCAATGTACTTTAAGTTTTCAAGTATAGAAACAAAATGATTTACCTAATTTTTCACAATTTTTATTTAGCTTAAATTAAAAAGTGTTCATTAAATGATTAACCTTTTATTTTATATAATATGTTTTATTTATATAATTATTATTTATACAACATTTAATATAATTAAAAAACTTTTATTTTTTATTTACATTGTATTTTATTAGTTTAACATTTTTTTTTACAAAAGTCCATACTAATTCTTTTGGCAATCACAAAAAAATTATTTTAACTTACAAAAAAATATAAATTTTAAGGAAAAAAAAACATTACAATTTAAATATGTAGGTGTATGGCTTAATGGATTGTATAGCTTATAAGGTTTATCCGCTCAGTCATAAATAGTCGTTCGGTTGTGACTTATTCGATCAGTCGGTGACTTAATTGGTCAGTTAGAAGCTCTGATTCTTTTACACTTAGCCATCTAATTTCCCCAACTACCTTGATAATAAAGAATCATGTTTTCAAAGATATTCCAATTCACGCTTCCAATGCTTTCAAGTTCCAAGCTTCCATTCATGCTTCAAACGGCTTCTTCCAAAGAAATCGGCGCTCTTCCTAGGGTTCTCCCCATGGTTTTCGATTTCTTCTTGGTGGTTTGTTCTTCCTATGGTTTTCGATTTCTTTCTATGGTTTGTTCTTCTGGCCTACGGTTTCTCCCATGGTTCTCGATTTCTCCCTATGGTTTAATTTTCTAGTTTTTCAGTTTACTTGATTTGATTAGGTGCGGTGTGATTTCTTATTGATAATGGTTTTTAGTCCTTATGATTTGATGAAAATTTCATTTTTCGTTCTTGATTTTTATTGATTAGGTTTGCTTTTTCTTTCCGTTTCTCTTTAGAAAAATATACACAAATAGAACATACATACATACATGATACATATATATATATGTTGGGGTTCCCAAACAAAATCTTACCCATTCATCATCTTCTTCCTCCCCTCCGCCACCCTCCCTCTTCTTTTCTTCTCCCGACCACCCATCCCCTCCCCTCCCCTCGCTGTCACCAACCACATCCCAGCCTACATATCTCGGTCTCTCGAGTTCCATTAAACCATCGATCATCTTCGTTGAAGCACGTACACACACACTCACACATACTGCTTCGGACAAACACACACACACACACATCGACAATTGTTTATCATTTCGTTTCATCAAATCAGAACTGAAAGTATCATTGATTTTTCTTCATATATCGGATTAGAACGGTATTGTTAAAGGAGAAAAGAAGGTAAAAGCTTGCCACCACCATTGATGCATGGGGTCTTAGCTAGGGGTTTATTAGCTCTGATATGATGTGGGTTTTAGTTGTAGGTGAGTTTTGTGTTAGGTTTTTTTTCTAACAATTTATTTATGTACGCTTGTATGATGTAAATTATTTAAGCTATTTAAATGGGTCATTATGTTAATCTAATTAATATTAGTCCATGGGTTTTTATTTTAAGAGGCACAATTAATTAGGGTTTAATGGGAACCCTAATCACATGCCTATAAAATGGTTACGGTCCAATATACCAAAGCACAACAAAACGGTTCTTAAACCCCATCTACAAGATATCGGTCGTTTGGTAAAGAACATTGAGGGCTTCGGTTGAGGAAGATCATCACACCCGCTCGGTTCGTTCATCGTCAAGTTCCACCTAAAGAAGATGATTGATCAATGGATTCAAGTATATGTCGCATTCGTTTCTTAATGATCAATAATATGGTTCGGTCCTTTAATTTGGATTGTTTTGGGTAAAAAGGAAGCAAAACCAACCAACCAACCAACAAACAACAACGACTTTGTAAAACAAGAGTGACCAAACGAAAGAAGTTTTAGTTTTTCTTATGGTTGAATTAAGTGACTTATTTTCATTCAGCACCCAAAAAAAATTTGAAACTTCTTTGATAAATAAGTTTTAGCATTTTAAATATTTGTAAATAAAATAAAAGTATATCATAACAAGTCAAATATATGTACAATATAATACATGAAATTTGTAATTTATAAAAAGTTATTACCATGCAACTTAAACATGTTACATTACAACAAAAGAAGGAACATTATTAGCTAGATTTATTTTTCAGGTTACCTTCCTGAATAACGTTATAATAGTACTAGTTTTTATTATGATGACAAAATAATGACACATAATAAAATCTAGAGGAATGAAAGAAAAGAATAAACGAGTTTATACTTAGATTTTTAAATATCATCTTCGTGTTATTAGAAGGATAGGTAGAAAGATGACTTGGCATTTTTGTAAGTTTTTTAGGGTTATGATTGGTACAATAAAACAAGACACTAGCAATAATGGGTTGTACATTATTTTAGCGAGAATAGATTTGCATCTGTGTCAAAATATGCTCAAAGTTATCGGTAGATTTCTCAATTGGATGTGAATGCATTCCTTCGTACGTTGTAACCACAACTCCGTCATCATTTGATAGGCGTTGAACTTGCTTCTTGACGTTGCATCCTTGATATGTACAACGATAGTAGTTTCTGTATACGTATATATAAAATGCAATAAAAGAGTTTAGGATATTTAGAATAAGTTCGATGTAAAAAACAAATCACTACAATAAAACTGGTATGTTAGAACTTTTAATTAAGTTTATAGAAGCAACAATTATACGTCATTTTAAGGGATTACAGTAGGTTATGATTATGACAAAATTTGACAACCTAACAGGTATATGTTCACAATAACTACTTAATATAAAGAAATTGAAAAATCTAATAAAACTTAAACAATAAAACGACATAAAAACCAAGTTAATAGAAAGTTAAATTTGTTGAAACAGAAGTGCAACCATATATGTAGTTATTAGTTTTCCTCTGTATCATAATTTCTTTTTTACTTGTGTCACACTCCAATAAAATCAGGTTTTGGCATCGTAATAAGTTTGTTATGACACTTTTATGAAGAGAAAATACGTTATATTAGTTGTTTTATATGACATTATTTGAAAAATATATATCATATAAACACAAGTGTCTTATAAAAAGATGAGTTTATAGAACACTTTCTCAAAAGTATCCTATAAAATTGATAATCCGACACTCTGCATTAGAAGTGTCCTAAAAACTTGTTAAAACATCCAAAAAAAGTCATATAAACTTATTACAACACATTTAGATATGACGTTTTATTTCTTGGTTCTATAAATTAAGTCTATTATGACACTTATTTATTGATGACATCTTATAAACCCAATTTTGTTATAGTCACATTTAGAAATTAGTGACATCTTATAAACGAAATTCTGTTATAGCGTCAATTAGGGGTCCTCACATATTCCATACAGTCATTTTGGCTTAATGACTTCACGATTAAGCCGAAAAGGATCAACACTCTTGTATGGCTTCACATAAATATTCATTTTTATTTTAGGATAATGAAATAACATTTTTATGCATGCAAGTTTATTTTTGCTCAACGATTATTAATAGCAACTTCAAATTTTAGTTATCTTGTCATCAAATTATGTACAACATGCATGCATGCATCTACACACACATATATATGATCATATATATTTATACATTTTAAGAAGAATATATTTGATGGTGTTATAAAACATGACTATTAAAAACGAGTATATATTATTTTCATAAACTTATTTTTCTTAATATTAAATTAGGGTAAAATTAAATTGGAACAAAATATTAAATAATACAAGATTGGTAAATTACTATACTACAGATTCCAAATTAAAACACTAAAACATTTCATAATTTTTTGATTTTCTACATTTGAAATAATTAAATTACAAAAAAGGTGTTTTAATGAATTAATCACGTACATAAAACAATTTTTCTTTGTTATAATTAACCAAAACATATACTTCATATTAAAAGGTAATTTATTTTTGATTATTTTCAAAATTAATTCTTAACAATTTTTAAAAAATAAAAAAATACCTGGGGAATTTATTGTTCTTGACGGCCTTTTGACCATACTTCCTCCATCTATAACCATCATCAAGTATATCAACTTGGCTCCTCGTTTGAAAAGCATGTTTGGGTTTTCTGATCTTCTTCTCTCCTTTTCTGATACTACTCTTCCCTGACGCCATGTTCAGATCGTCGGTTAACCGGCTGCTGGTCGGCTGATCAGCCACCATGTCGTCGGAACTTTCATACATCTGAATACCATCTTTCTCCATTAATCCAACCACCTGCTGCTGCTGCTGCTGCTGCTGCTTACTGTAATTATTAACATGTGAATATTCATCGTTATTCATCATGTTTAACGATAAATATGATGAAGAATTGATAGCAGCGGCTGGTGGTGGTGATGAGGTTGAAGATGATGTGTAAGAAAACATTCCACCATTGTTGATCTCCATTTGAGAGAGAGAGAGAGAGAGATGAAATGAGATGAGATGAAGAGAGGGACGAGAAAGGTAGGTCAATATGCTTTTATTGAATAAACGAGGGGCGGCTACGATCACGGCTAAAAGACAAAATTAACACCAGTTATATTGGTCATATTTATGGAAAACTTGCTGGTTTTTTTTTATTATTTGGAAAAATAAATGGTGAATATTTAATTAAAGCATGTCGTAGTGTTTAATAAAATATAATATTGTTTATTTATAAAAACATATAATTTCTTCCATTGATGGATACCTGAATGTTTGTTTTGATATCACTACCATAAAATTTAGCTCTGTTCTATCAAATGTTTATTCGGATATAAGCGTTTATCAAGTCACTTTATTTTACTGAATGAATATGACAAGGTCTTAAAATCTTATCTGGTAAGAGCAAAGGCAAGACTAGAAAGTCTTACCCGGTAAGTGAGGACGATAACTCTTACCATGGTTAGCACTTACTGGGATCAATTGTTGCATACGATGCGTTTTAGTGAATAAAATCTTACCTTATAAGTAAGTGATAGTGTTGAATTTTACCGATAAGTGTTTACTGGGTAAGTGTTTAGGTAAACAACCCCTTAGCCTGTAAGAGAGTTTAAAATATTTATGTATTTTAAAGTAAATATTTTATGGAATATTTTTACATGTTTTAATAAGTTTTTAAGAACGTTTTTAAAATAAAATGTTATATAAAATAACTAATATAATACTTTGTTTTATGAGCGTGTTAAAAAACTTGTATGTCAAAAATATTCTAAAGACCTATTATAACACTTTTAGATAAGATGTTTTTATGTTTGTTTCTATAAACTTAAGTCACTACACAAAATTGAGTTTATAGGACATCATCAATTTCAAAACTTCATATTAGACTGCATTATATGACTCAATTTATAAGACAAAAAAAAAGTCATACTTAAATGTATTGTAATAAGTTTATAGGACGTCTTTGGACGTCTTACCAAGTTTTATAGGATAATTTTAATAGAAATCGTCCTATTAGCTATTTTATATGACACTTTTGAAAAAGTGTGATATAAACTTATCTTTTTATAAGACACTTTTTAATAATGTTCTATAAAATAGATTATTGGACGTTTTGTATTCAAAATATTCTATAAAACTTGTAAAGAAGTCCAAAAACGTCTTATAAACTTATTATAACACCTTTATAAGATAAGATCATTTATTTTATTTTTTTGTTCTATAAATTGAGTTCTATAAAACAGTCTATAGGACACTTTGAAATTGACGACGTCCTATAAATTCAATTTTGTAGTAGTGAGTCTTATAAAATATGCTATTATGGCGCTAAGACATTTTATACCTCATATATACAAACCCGATTTTGTTGTAGCGATGATATATATATATATATACTACAACAAAATTATGTTCATAGAATGTCAAAAATGTTTAAATGTTCTAATAAACTATTTTATAAGACTTAGGTTTATAAGAACAAACAATAAAACGTCACATTCTTAAAATATTACAATAAGTTTATACTCACCTTAAAAACTTTTGTAGTACACTTTTGAAATAAAAACGTTTTATCAGTATTTCTTACGAGACTATTTGGAAAAATGTTTTACAAAAACAAGCGTCCAACAGAAATATATGTTCATGATAAACTTATCAAAAGTGTCATATAAAATTGTTAATATATGACATTTATTTTAAATTTTTCATAAAATACATGTTTAGATGTTCAAAACGTCGTATAAACTTATCGTAACACTTTTAGATTTAGTCCTATGCATTTGAATCCTATAAAGTATTCTATTGTAGCACTTACTTTCTTTTGTATGTTATAAACTCGATTTTGTTGTAGTGACTAATGAGATAATTATCATGAGTCATCAATAAAGATACACTAAATACTCAGTCTAATTATAATCGTAGGGTGAACATGGTACAATATCATATATATTTTTTCTCTTATACCGTGTACCAATCAACTTTTTTTGATTAACCTGGATAACTAACCAGCTATGTCAGCCGACTAATCTCAGGGCGACCACCTGCTTTATAGATAGTCCGGAGTCACCGCATTTGAACCTCCGTGGTCACAAGGGGATTTTTATTCCTCCTTGGATTTGAACCTAGGGTCTCTTGATACTTTTGACATTTGAAACCAAACTCAAACCAATCAGATACTACCCTTATGATTATACCAATCAACTTATAATTAGTGTGGAATATCTTATATGTATCAACCAATTTTACTTGAAACAAACTTAATTCATAGGACATAGTCTTAATAGGACAGACGATAGTGGTGAATATTCTAAAAAAAATATAAAACAGAAATTACGAAAGCATATATCCCTATCGATTTCATAATAGTGGAAGGCATTTATTGGTCAAAACTCGTGTGTATTAAATTCACTCTGTTCATTTTCTCCTTGAAGAGACGTTGTTGACCATTCCTTAGTTCTCCAAATTTCTACGCTACCAGCCAAGACTTTATTTTCACTTGTAAAAACTGCAAATTGGTTGATTTCAGCACAAACTTATACCAATAATTTTTGTTTATTAACTTGGATATCTAATCCGTTATGTGAGCTGACTAATCTCATGACAATCACCTACTTTGCAGATAGCCTGTAGTTACTGCATTTGAACCTCCGTGGCCAAAAGGGGATTTTTATTCCTCATTGGAATTGAACCTGGGACCTCCTGATACTTTTGACTTTTGAAGCCAAGCTCAAACCAATCAGACACCACCATTATGGTTTATACCAATAATTATTTTAAAATTAGACAAATTAACATAACAACGAGCTTTAAATATATGTAATTCAAATTTACAAACTGAATATAATTTTTATATTAAAAAATGTAAGTTTTTCTTATATGTTTACCGACTACGACATTACAGGAAACAATGACAATTATTACCAGCTTCTTACTATTATACAAACGAGGTTTCTACTAGTCTCGAACCTGAAATGGTTCATAAAGCCATCGCATATTGGTCCCATTTCGCTTTTGTTGAGACCAGCACGTACATTTTGGGATGGAATGAAGTGGAATTGTAGAAAAGTTGATATAGCCATCATTCATGTATCTAAACATTTCAACATAAAGTACTCAATTCGACTTTTCAAATATATATATATATATATATATATATATATATATATAGGTTGGTTCAAATGTTAACCAAGATTATTGTGTTAACTTTGTTAACCAATCTTAACCATTGATTCTTACAATAAAAAATTGTGATTAATCATGATAAAAAATTAAATTTTTAAATTTACAATTTCAAAGAACATATGTGAATAAAAGGGAAAAGGATATTTAGGTAATTTTCTTTTTTATGTAACTTCCATATCATTAATTGGGAGTTACAAAATCAAAAAATCTCTTTATTTTTTGTTAATGTAAGAATCATATGAACACACACACACACACATATATATGAACCACTATGTCAAATACGAACAAAAATTGACATATATATATGTATTTGGACTGTATAGCATTTATGAACACAATATGAATATAATATGAATAGTTGCTACACGAAAGTAAATAAATAAATAAAAAACATATATGTACACAATATGAACAGTTGTAAACAATAGTTCATTCATTATGAACACATTCAGAAGTAAACCAATGTTGAGATATGCAGCTAGTGTACATATGAACACAATATGAACACTTGTGAACAATTCTTTAACAATTACATATGAATTTGAATTTCGATTGTAGTCGTAGACGATTTTAACCTTTTCATTCTCATTGTTGTCGATCTGTTTTCCAATAGGTTTATCCATATTACTCGGACGATATCGAAATCTTTACAATCGGAAATTCTTTAACAATTACAAAATCAATATHATTATKGATAGAATAAATCGAAATTACAAAACATGAACACGTATAAAAAAAATATCAATATTACATAATCATCAGTTATTGATATTTTTATATTTGTAACTTCCAATTAATGATTTGGGAGTTACATTAATGACAAATTACTTAATTACTCTTGTCATTAATATATGAGTTATATGTGAACCTAAAGAAAAGATGGAATATGATTGGTTGAACTTGGTTAACAAAGTTGACACAAAAATCTTGGTTAGTATTTGAACCAAGCCCTATATATATATATATATATATATATGTGTGTGTGTGTGTGTGTGTGTGTGTGTGTGTGTGTGTGTGTGGGACGGTAACCAAATGAGAACCACAAAAAGGTTAGAAACCCGTGAGAACTGGTATAAAAATATTATTTTACATGATTTTTTTCATCAAAAGCTATAATTTAATATATTGTTTCACATATGTTTGTGTTCAGCTTGTGAAATAAAAATTACACGTGAAACTTCTTTTTAGTTCACTTAGTGAAACAAAAAATACACATAAACATCCACATGGTGAAACTATCACATTATTAAACAAATATATGTGAATCAATATTTTAAATCATAGCATTTGACGAAAAAAAAAAATCATGTAAAAGGTTATTTTTAAATTGATTCTCACTGGTTTGTAACATTTTTGTGTTTCTCATTCATTCTTTTAAAAACTTCCCGATTTGTGAGATCCATGAGATTCAATTTAGACAAAAAGAACTAGTTAAAAGATATAATTTAATTTAAAAACTCTTTTATCTCTGTAACATACACACATAGTTAAATGTGCACACATGATAAACACATTGTGCATAATTTTTTTTAAAAATGTGACTATAATTTGTGAACACACTCTAAATATATCTATGAGATCTGGTATAGTTTGTGAATATATTATGAACACCAACTGAAGCAACAAAACTAAATCTAAACCTACCTTTGTGAACACCCTAATGCAAAATCTCTAAGGTTTTTTCATGGTGTTCACCTTATGTACATATTTAATTGTATATGTATGTGCAAGATAAAATGCAAACCAAGCTATTTCATCATATTAAAAAATTTCATGAAATTTTTTAACTAAAATAAATGATGAAAGCGACGGTTTTGTTTGTATAAAATGACTTGGTTTGTA